CCTGACTCGAGTGGCTTGTCGACTGATCCGACAAGCCAACCGTTTCACAAGGCGAAAGCGGTAAGAGGCGAACCTTTTGGCTGGTTGAAATGGGACAACCAAACCTTTTGCTGGGTGAGAAGGGAAACAGCGGGCTTTTGGCTGGTTGCAAAGGGAAAACGACAGAACGTTGGGGGAAAAAAGAAGCCGAACAGCTGCTAAGTCTGGCAATGCAGCCTATCCTGCCGCAGCGACGCCCCACATTCCTCCACCAGGAACTTGACCATGCTGAGCCTCGAAATGGCCCAGTGGTTCCGTTTACCTCTAATGTTGACCCTTCATTAATCACAGTAACCCCTATTTTTTCCGATTTGGGGGGTGTTCCCCTCCAAAAGTGGTCGGAATCCCCTCTAAAACCAGGGACACCCCCATATCAATACACTAAAACCAGGGACACCCCCAGATTAAAATAAGCAAGGGTTCATTCATCCAGGGTCAACAGTATACACCACGGGGTCCTGGGGCTGGGGAGCCCCCGGCCCCCCCCCCGTACGCCCTGAGTAGCTTTGGGGGGTATCAAAAGGCCTGATGTTGGGGCCCCAAGTTCGAGCTGAATTCTGTGGTAGCACTGCACGTCTTGCGAAAAAATCCAAAAACCTGAAAGGGATCCCCAATGGCCCAAGTTGAGAGAAGCACCTTCGTGAGCTCGTGCTTCCCTCAGGTGAGTCGCCATAAAATAGTTGCCAATAGCAGGTAACTGAGGTGGGGTTCACTCTAAGTGGGATATGGAACCCAAAGGATGAGTGGTGTCCCTTTGTTTTCCCTTTAAAAAAGCAGCAAACAGGAAATCTTCCAAACAAGACACGCCCAAATGGGAGCAACGGCAACTTGAATCCCCGCACCGGCCAAGCGGGCGCCTGTTCTGGATGCCCCGCCCATGAATTCACCCTGCATCGAACATGTTGTCTAGAAAGATGGCAATACCGTGCCGGCTCCAGGTGCTCGAACCATAGGTCCGTCACATGTTTTGGAATCGCTTTTCATTCCAAAATCGAACACAGAATCCGCTTTTGGTGATTGAGAAACGGTTGATTCGCCAAACATTACAAGCAAGCAGTCTCTTGACACCATGCAAGGGAGGGTCCCATATTTGGGGGAACCTTTGATCATGTACACGGGAATTGTTCAAGTCCTAGCCATCCTAGCCAGTACCACAAGGACCCGGGGATGTGTTTTTTTTCCCAAGGTGTCTCCTTGGGTTTATCAACTTGGCTTGGTGACAGAGCTCCGGGTGTACTCACAACATGAAACCCTGTTGCTTCCATTTACCCTCAGGAACCTGAGGGCTCCATTCTGGGGTTTTGCCTGGTACCTCATGATACCACCAGTGTACTCAAGACATGGGGGTTGATCAATACCCCTGGCCCCAAAAGGGCCATGGGCAGCTTGTCCCATTTCGTGGTGAAAAAAATGTCATCTTTTTGGGTCCCTCAGGCTGGGGCCCCAGACTTCCCGGCTGCGGCGGCCAGATGCAGGGGCGTGCGCTGGTCATAGGGCGTCGCAAAGTTCACCTGCAGGGGCTCGCGGGTATCCCAAACCCAGCCTACAAGCGGATCCATTTAAGGTAGTGACTTTTTAAGTGGCTCACATGTATCCTTCAAGGAATCTTGGGATCTCTAAGGTACTGGTGACTTTTCAAGTGGCTCGCATGTACCCTTCAAGGAATCTTGGGAGAGTCAAGGGGTAACTCCCCCCTTTTGTTCCAGGGCTCTGCAAATCCACAAAAGCACCCAACACCTGAATTCAGAGATCCCCCCCAAAAAAGAACCTTCACATTGTGGGCTCATTTTACCCCTAGAGATAGTGGAAAGCGGCCGGTTTTTCGAACATGGGGAATCAACCCCCCATCTTTTTCGGGTGATACTTTTACAAACGAGGTCTCTGGTTACGCGGTTCATTCAAGAAATCCGCCCTGTCTTCCGTGGTTGAAGGACCGGGGAGCTTTCGCCAAAATGGGAGTCTTGTGTGCAAGGCACAAAAAGAAGGTACCCTCCAAAAAGCCCACGATAGCCCACGGTTTTCCTTGGGGGGGAGCACTTTTTCGCAGGATGTCCATTTGGGGCTGACTTTTGTGTGGGTACCTTTTTGCTGGGTTGGTTTCAACGGGGGGACCAAAGGAAAACCACCGTTTTTGGGGGTACGATTCCAATTTTGAGACAAACCCATTTCGTAAGTGAACAGGACTTTGAGGGTGTCATCACTGCATTTTTATGGCTTGACTACGAGACGTTTCCCTATGGTTCAGAACCAATGCAACCCACCCCGGTCCGCTTTAATGGAAAGTAAGTCAACCTTCTCACCACAAGGCAGTGGTGAAACCGTCAATTTGCAACACAACGAAAAAGCAGGACACCTTCTATTTTGCTTTTCACATTTGGGAAGGCGCAGTTAATTGAAACTACCATGAGACCTCTGCAAATTTGTCAATTCCAACAGAAACAATATTTGGACCACCAAGCAAAGGGCCTTTATTCTCGGTTCGCATCCTCGACATACAAGTCGACAGACCTATGATAGCTTGCCCCACATCTGTGGTACACAGGGAACAACACAAATGTTCAAATTCAGTTTCGCATTAAAACTACCCTTGAATATGGGTAGGTGTCAAAATAGGGACCCCGCAAAAAAATAGCTTTGGTTTCTCACTTGTTTCCCTGTACAACCCCAAATTCAGTAGCCTTTTCCTCAAAAGGGCGCAACTTGGGGACCGTGTCTGAAATGAGTCAGTACCCTTTTCACCTTGGCCCCTTCTTGGGCAACCTTGAAAAGGAAACCGGACCATTCTTGGGAATCAGTTCCAATCTATGTTGGCTCCGCTCCTGGCTGCCATATTAGTGAAACCACCGATGCCAGTGACTCTGACTCTTGATACCCCAAATAAACCACTCGGACGCCCCTGAAAGGATCCTTGGGTTGTGGAGAGTGTTCACCCCCAACCAAAATCACAACGTTGTTTTTTGGTTCTTCTGGATGGGCCCCACGGGGCTTGCAAATCAGGTCTGCCCACCTGTGGGGACGCTTCCCTCTTCTTTCCAGCAATCCTTCTTTCCACAGAAATTCAGGGGAAACCCCAGGGGAAACAGCTGGTTTGTTTTTAAAAGAACGGATGGTTGAAAAGAACGGAATTGGAATCCACCCCTAGACATCAGCGCAACAGCTCCCAGCGCGCGCCTCCGCGCCGCTCTGGATCAGCTCCCGGAGCCCCTCCACATCCCCGGTGGCCGCGTAGTCGCACATCAGCCCCGTGAGGGCGGCCTAGCGGTTTCACCCGGGAAGAGGACATTTTAGACGCCCCAAGAAGCTGCTTCAGGCTTCTTTTTGTTGACTCTACAGTTGCTTTTTGTTTTGGAGGGGTTGAAGGGCGGGGGGAATGGAGACTATGATTAGGATATGCGAGTCGCTAGAGAAAGGCTACGGGGCCCCAGGGGGGTTTGACTGGGATGTACAGCCACTACATAGCCGCTACACAAAGGGCACATACCACTACCTCACATACGAGTTGTTTTTGTTGAGAGTAATCTGATTACAGTAATCTACTCAGGTCGGTTAAAAGGCAAACCACGAACGGAACACCACAACTTTTAGGGGTTCCCCTATTTGGGCACATACCGAGTTGGACTCCCCTTGGATACGACACCAAGAAACCGAGCAGCTGCAAGCTATCCCTAACTATGGACAATTACGGCAGCAAGTCCGCTTGCTTTGTTGATTTGAGTGACTTGCCCGTGCCCCTCCCAAACAGACAATTGGTCACCGTACGCGGCTTGGAAATTTGACCCGGATGTCTCAGGACCTAAATGGGCCCTAGTGCTCAAATGGGTCTAGGATGCTACACACATAATTGCCATTTTAGTGCAAGCCGGAACACATTTGTGATTCGGTGTCCAATCTTCATGTCCAGACCACCAACAAACCCACACCTGCTCAATTAATCCCATGGCGAAACAACCCATGACGTGCCTCTGCAAGATGTGCCCCACATTTAGCCGGAACATGGCCGGGAGTTGAATAGAGCTGATAAAAGTTAACCTGGAGTCTCCATGACCCGTAAAAATGAGGGTCATTAACAAAAAGAATGGGGTCATTGACCCATTTTTAGAGGGTCATGGAGACTCCAGGAAGAGCAAAGGGGGAGATCGGCAAAATGCCAAACCAATTACTGCGCGCCTCGGGCAACGCCTTCATATCCGCTGTCTTGGGCCGCGCCCGAGACTTCTCATCCGGCGTAACCACCATGGCGCCAGACTATTTTCTCGCGCAAGTCAAAAGCTGGCCCCCAAAGTTCCGCTTGAAACAATTCGCTGCGAGCAAAGCAAACATGAGGCAGCAAGCGTGAAACCAAGGATCCAATCAACCAATCAAGCTCCTTAGATGGGGGCCCGATAGTAAGGGGGTGTCTTTTTGGGGAAACCCCTTTTTGAGGGGTTGTTGTTGCGTGTGGGCAGCTGAAGCCCTTAAGAGCCGTTAGCCCCTGCGCGTGCCCCTATGTCCGGTAGTTGTGCTTGTAGATATCCAGCTTGGGTGGTGTTGGCAGAGGATCTTTGATTCGTAATTTTAAAGGGAAACCACAGGGAAGCCACCCAGGTTGAGTTACAACATTTAACGAGACACACCCATATTTTCCAGCCTGCCAATTTCTGTGCATGCGCCCTCACAGACCAAGATGTGTTCGCCGCAGCCCTCACCACCACTGCAACAAACCAGACTGACTCGAGCTCGACGTGCCCAAAGAGCCACCATCCTCACAAAACATGCCATGGCATCTTGACCTATCAACCGCTAAATGGCTTTCCATCTAAATAAGTAAACCCCAAAAAAACTGTGTGGGGTCCTCTTGTTATCTTTTTGAACCAAACTCCAAAGACGGGTACACCCGCCCAAAACTCCGGGGAACCACTCCCAACAACGCTCTGCCGTGTACAATTTGTCCATTCAGCCGAGCCCCAAGGGGCGCCCCGAGCCTGTAGAAAAGCAGAGGGCACTGCTGCCAGCAAGTCCTGGAACCGGACGATGGTCCAGAATTCGGGCACTGCCGCGACATGCATGCCAGGCACCGGTTTTTGTAGGTGATCAAGCTTTATAGGGGTGTACCCCTATGGCAATGGGTTATTTCACCTCACGTCCCTCAGTAACCCCTAGTTTGGTGAGTGACCGGGACCCATTTCCTGGTATTGTTGGGGCCAGTGGCTAGCGTAGATGACCTGCAAAAAATCGAACGCTTTGCTCGTTGCCGAGCAACCAATATGGCTTGGTGCACAGGAACCCCACATTCCCAAGCGGAAGTGCGTCTTAACGGGGCTGTGACCTTCCATGTTCGTTGGAGGGAGGGGATTCGTGGTGCAAAAACCCTCCTCGGAAAGATGCCATCCCTTTGGGAAGGATTTGCTTGGCCTGGTCCATTTTGCTTGTATGGAAACAGCTGTGCTGCTTTTTTTTTCCAAGGGAAGCGTTCTTTCGGTCGAAGTAAAGAACTCAGGCGCTGCGGAGAAGCTTGAGAAGTGCGTCTTTCCCTCAAAACGGTGGCTCAAAATCCGGTGTTGAGCCCAAACTGTGAATTTGATGTTTCTGGCTCGCATTGAATGGGGCCAACAATTTGCCTTTCAGAGGTATTGCGGCAAAGTTAGCAAGGAGGTGATCGGCAAAGTGTTAAACAACGATTTCCAAAAAAACATGGTTCGCCATCACAAAACACTGCAGCACAACATACCCAAAAAACAGCCGAAACGAGGGGCGTGAGACCCGTGCCGCTTCAGTCAAAGCAGGGCGCTCCCCGATGGTTCGATGCTGCGGAGTGTACAGCAACTCGTCGTCATCAATGTGAATGAGCCTCACTCATCAAGAAAAGCGAGCAAGCAAGCAAGCAAGCAAGCGAGCAAGCGAGCAAGCGAGCAAGCAAGCAAGTAAGCAAGCAACCAAAGCACAAACAAACAATAAAACAGCAAAACATGTAAACAACGAAACAAAGAAACAAACTAGCACACCTTACATGAACTTCGGTGCCCAAGAGCAGTGGAAAAGCCTGCTTGGAATATAGATCCGCAATCATTTGATTCGATGGGGCTGAAAGCGGCACGCCGGCAGCGTCCGGTCAGTTGGTGCTGCGTCAGTGAAGTTAATTAGTCTCTTGCAGGACGCATTGGTGCCGTAGTTCTACACTTCCCATGGCGCATGCGCATCATACAATCGCGCCGAGCCAACGTACCGCTGTGCCGTGCCGTGCGCTTTGCACACAGCAAACCCCCCAAATTGCCGCCAAACAAGTGGCCAATGTGCAAACAGAGCCGCTTGGAGTGCTGACAAAATGTCCCCCCCAGTCCATTCAGGCATGCTTCTTCGACAGTACTTCAAAGGCTAAATGTTAAATATGGCTTTGACTCGTAATAAGGATCCACCTCAAAAGCGGCTGAGTGGACATGAATCCCCACTTAAATGATGTCCACCAAAAAAAGATCCGTACTGAATGGCCTAGGTTGCTTGCCAACTAAATTTATGCCCAGTTAGGTGGCTTTCACCAGAATTACCGACAAACCAAAAGACACAAAGCGCCAATGGACATCGGTGCGGCGCTTCTTTGCATTGCAACACGGTGGTTGGAAGGCGCTGCTCACAGCTCCAAGCAAGCAAACACACAGGAATACAACCGCTTCTTCTTTTTTTTGTCACCTGGCACTTAGGTTTTTGGACATGCACAAAAGCAGCCGTTAGAAGATGCTGGAAACAAAACGAAAACACACCAAGATGAACTAATCAGCCCAACAAAAACAAGCAACCCACCAGTTCATCTGGTATGTGCACAATAAGTTCAATAGCTTAACTAGGGGATTCCCTCGTAAAGGACCTTATCATGCCTTTCACTCGCTTTCCCCCCGAATCGTTGAGCTCGCAACCAAACAACAAAAGCAGAGTTCGCGCACCTCTCCCCGCTGGGAGCCTGGCCAGTCAATGCCCTTCTCTTCGCAGGCGGACTTGGCTCTGGCCATGACCGCAGTTTGCCGCGCCTGGCGAAGCCGACGGACGGAAGCGGCGAGGCACCAGCAACCGGGTCCCAGGAACTGCCGGCAGTTTCAACCATGTGGCGGTCAAAATTGGCTGGAAACCCCAAAATGGGTGGCCCTGGTAAATGGAACCAAGGACGATTCAACCTGCGGGCCAATTCCTGGTGGCCTAATTTTGACGAGCCATGTCCAAAATCCCCTTGGTACTGCCCCAAAAAGCAGTGGTTGGGAGGTGGAAGGCATGGTTTTGGAAACTCATCCTTTCTGTGGTAACCTGCCTGCCTGCAGGGTGGTGTAGTCATCTGGGGGCCGCGAGTCGACTCCAACTCAGCCGGGCTCGAAACTCGACACCACCCGGACCAGCGAATAGCAACCAGAACCGGGTTCCGACTTCAAGGGGATGTGCCCAAGGTGTGTGCCCAAACTCGTTTCGGATTCGATTCCCCAATTTAAGTACCAACAAGCAATGGCTTCAACCATGCTTTCATCTTGTGGCGCGACCAGAATTTGTCCATCCATTTGATTCAGCTGAAGGCTCTTTGTTGGTCGATAGGCTCAGGCTGATACCATCTGGGCGTATTTTTGTTGGAGACAAATGAGACGGACAAATGCTGAACCAGCAAAAACTGCGCCTATCTCCTTTTTGAGGCGAAAACAAATGCAAACCAAAGGATCAGGTGAAGGCTGCTTTGGGGTCCAACAGTCCAACACTGACACTTTGAGATTGTTACGACACAAGTGCCCAGATTGCTACAATTTGAGTTGTTTCTTTCATGGGGGAAGCCTCAACATGGGCTGGGCGTCCCAGCTTGTTCTTACATGTATCCCCACAAAGGTGCATGAAGAAGGAAACTCATCTTCGCTGAGGCCTCTAAGGCAAACACGAAGGCTTGCAGCCGAAGATTCCCACACAGAAACCTGCAGCCGAATCAGTCCGTTAGAGCAATGAGTGTGTCCTGCTTCATTGAATCCCGATGAAGGGAGCACCTTTGTTTCCAAGACCATCCACAAAGAGGCTCCCGATTTTGAGAAATGCTCATTTCATGCAAATGCGGCGCTCCCCTCAACATGGTACATAAGTGAGTTGGATGGGCATCAGGTCAAAAAGACCTAATCGATCGTAGACATTTCTGGCAAAGGATTTTGAATGCAAGTCTATCTGGAAAACCAGAAGCAGTTTCAAGGCAAACACGGAACTGACAAACTGTTCCTTCCACCAAGCCGAACATGAAACTGGAGAACTGGTCTTCACGCTTTTCATGTTTTGTCATCCTTTTTCTGCTGCAGGTTTTGTTCCGGAGACAACCCTTCGCCTTCTCCTGATCCGCCGCAGGCAGCTGCCGGACCAGCTCCGCCACCTGCGGCGAATCCTCCGCCTTGATGAAGATGTGCTCCACCTGCAGCGAGATTCGGAGGAACCCGATTCAACTGGCCATGAATTTTAATAGGGAACCACCTCAAAAGTGATTGGTGGACATGAATCCCCAGCTAAATGATGTCCACCAAAGGGTCTCTTATTAAAATTCACAGCCAACTGAGTGGAACAAATGCTGATGTCGTGTAGCTTGAGTTGGTGCTTGACAGTCATGAGTGGAAAACCTATACTGGCTGGAGATGCACGGGCCGTTATGGTCCTTGGCCCCAAATAGAAATGAGCTGCAGGGAATTCTATTGGCCAACCACCCACCACTGCAAGCACATGTCGGAGAAGCTTTCGTCTTAGAAACTGAGTGGGAATACCCAACTCAACTGGAAAGCATGGATACATATTGGATTCACCAGTTTGTACTCCAGTTCTAAGCCCGTTAAAAGCCGCTTCGACGGTGGGTCACGGTCAAACTGAGATCCGAGCCCCGGCATGATGCAAGTGATACCTGAGGTATTGCAAGCACGGAACAAGGTTGCACTGCCACAGTGGTTGGCTTGTCCTTCTTCTTTCCCCTTTTTTTTTGGGGGGGTACCTTTTTTTGGTGGTTTTGAAGGGGAACCAAAAGAAAAGCACATTTTGGGGGGTCCCCTTAAAAAGACACACCCATGCCATGTGGCCGTGGCTTAAAAAGCTGGGCCCAAAATGCCACCTTGGCAAAGGGAACCTCAAGGACTACAACCTGCGCAACCCTAGCTCTGAAAGTTTTGAGCCATACCTGGTTGGTTGGTCATGTTTTGGAGGATATATACATTTTTTTGGTTTCAAAGGGAGCCAAAGAAAAAAATCACACGCGAATCCCCGAGGCTCGCGTTCAGACACGCGCTCGAATCCCAGTCGCGCAGTCGAATCGCTTTCCGCCTGATCCAGGTTTTCAGGTCTGGAGGATGCCGGCTCAGCATGACCTGGCATGGACCAGAAACGCCGGAAAGCTCTGGCATGGATTCCACGGGCTCCTTCAACGGCAAAACAGGGGGCGCTCTGGTAAAAACCAGAAGCTTTTTCGTCCGTGATCATGTGAGGGACCAAGAAAGAACTTTTAATATGCTGCCTAAACCATTACCAACATGCTGCCATGCTGTAAGTTGGCTTTCAGTTCCCCGCAGCCTCATTGTGATAAATTTAAGCCATGATACGAACTTGGTGCCCCGAGGCTTGGAGCATAAAGCTCACTGTCTGCTTGAAGTTTAGAAAATCAAAGGCAAACCCCGCATTTTTTTTCCTTGGGGGGGGGGGTCACATCCTTAAAAAACGACCATATTCTCCATCGTTTTCAGGCATGTCAACGCTACGGCCCAGTCGTCCACTTGCGCAATCTGGCGTGATTCTTTTCACCTTGTTGCTTCATCGAAATGGTCGGCCTTTGCTTTGTGAGGTTCAAATTCAGCGAGCCGCACTCAAATTCGCCAAAGACTCTTGGCTACTCTCCCAACAAAGTGCACAAACCTGCTAAGGCCACACCCGTGCTCTTGGAAAGGGAGGGTTCTGGTGTGCAGCCTATGGCCTTCCCAAACCAACTCTGGACTCAGTCATTTTGCGTGTTGCTCGCCTGACCAAACCAGCTTTTTTTTTCCTACCAAACATTGGCAGGTCAGAGGGTGCACAGGTCTCTGCGGACAAAATCGGCCCAATTTTCCTCACAAATGGGAGATCTTCTCAGCACACCCCACTCCCATGAGGATTCCTTTCACAGGGCGTCCAGGTCTCGGTCTGTCTCGTTTTAGGGGAACCTCCAAAATGTTGGTTTTCGTTTTGACTTCCCTTTAAGCCAACCCAAAAACGGGGTACCCCGAGAAAGAAACGAAGAACAAAAAACATCTCCCTGGACTTCCTAGCACTCTACTCAATTTCGACTTTTTAAGACGCGCCGGGTCCGGCAATCGCCGTGCGCGCCGGCTGCGCGGGCCGCTCGCCCACCTCCGCCAAAATGAGGCTTGGGTGGTGAAGAGTAGGGGCCTCGTTTGGACCCCTGCGTTTTTGTGTTCAACCTGCTTCGTTGAGTAAATTACCAGGCTCAAAAGGGGACTAACCCCTGAAATTCGCCCGACTAACCAAGAACAACCAAGTGCTGAGCCATTTTGCGACGCCATTTGCGCAGGTCCCAACAGGGGTGCTCGATTCTCATCACTCAGGTCCCCCAGGTCACAACTAGAAACACACCAAGTGGAGCACCAAGTTTCCTCGACCGAGTCGTACCCAAAGCTCCAACTGGAAACCAGCGAGCTTCGGAGTTGGTATCTTGTTAGGAGTGGAAAAGGGCAAAGAAACGATTCCAACAAGCCATAGTCTGGGATACTCCCGTATCTTGCCTGATTGAAAGTGAAGAACAACTGAGTCATACTCGGCTTTACAAATCTATGCAACGAATCGAAACATGAACGGCTACTGTTTCTAGTTGGGACCGTCCCCTAAGCGGCAATGGCCCAGATGTTGCTTGCAGCTCTGGCCCCACTACTTTATCAAATGGTAGGTTGAAGGGAAACAACTCAAATGTCGACTATAACCCCCAGCAGCAGTCAACATGCTCCCAGCTCAACTGATGGCTCAGGTGCAGATCTTGAGGCTATGGCGGCACACCAGCACTCCTATGGGAGACAGGCCAGCTGAGAACCCAGCATTGCCGTGCTGGCTCCCTTGCAAAGGCTCCCCCAAAAGGGTTCAATGCGGTTTGATCTATAGATTCACACGTGTCCCGAAAAAAAAATGTGTCCCATGCATATCTGAGCCCACATGCGTTCCTATATCACTATATCAACATAGTTTACACTAGTACCAGGTCGTGAACATATGTGATTTACATCTCCATCTCTCTCTCTCTCTCTCCCTCTGTCTTTGTTCATTCATCCTGACAGGGATCTGTCTATTGCTCACTCACACAAAAACCTCCCAAGCTCCTTCATGCGGTTGAAGGCCGGATCCTGTCTGCAGGGCATGCACACATGTGCGGGTAAAGTACCCCGTTCTGCGATACCAAAGCGGGCCATGCCCAAGACTAAACCCTGTAAAAAAGATCTCCTTGGTTTCAAACCCAGTGCTTCCAGTTGCCACCATAGTAGGTAACCAGGTATTTAATTTAACTCTAGGTTTCGCCTGGTTGCCTATAGTGGCGAAACGCCTGGAAGCACTGGGAAAGAAAGGGCCCCCCGCCAAAGAAAAAACAAAGGAAAAAAAAAACAAGAAAAAACAAAACGTTCAACCCAGCCACCACGTGCGCTTGCGCCCGAAGTTCGGCTTTGAAGCCGCCGGCCTCCCCGAAGGTCGAAACATTGCAGGTCCTTGGCACGGAGTCCAAGAAGGGGCACCAACTCTCATGTGCAACATGGGTGGCTCGTCTTTAGGGAACTTTTATGCCATAAAACCCCAACCCCCCCCCCCTCAAAAAAAGAGAGAGACACACCATGGTGGTCCTCTTGGTGTCCCTTACCGGCGAACATGGTGGGACCCTCGAAAAAAAAAAAAAAAAAAAAAAAAAAAAAAAAAAAAAAAAAAAAAAAAAAAACACCCATCTCTTGGAGGGGTTGCCTTTCTCAGAGACCCAAAACATGATCCCTTTGCTCTTGGGGATTGAAAGGGACACCATCTAAAACGCGAGTTTTATTTTCACTGTCCCCCATTCCAACCATTGAGCGCATAGGTCAGGAACCACGGGCGAAGTGCTCCCAGCTCAGGCCGCAACAGCGCCCCTGCGCGGTTCGCCGCGACCTCTGCCGAAAGTCAGCAGGGTCCACGCAGCTGGGTCGCTGGCATCCCCTTGACTGACATGGAACCCTGAAAGGCGCGAAGACCGTCCTCTGCAAGGGCTGCATGTGTCGCGATTGTCGCTGGCAGACCGGTCGGGCTTTTCGGTTGGCATCAAGAAAGAAGCTACCCAGAAGCGGGCGTTCATTCAAGGAGCCCACCGATCCAATAGCTCTCCGGCGCTCGGCTCCGGACCCAGCGGTCGCCCTCGCCAAAGCGCACCAGGCCGCTACTGCATGGGCATTCCGCTCCTGGAGATGGATCCGGCGAGGTTGGTTGCTCACGGGGTAAAGGGAACCCAGTTGATGAACCAACTCCTGATTGATTCGTTGGGGAGTGTCCCATTTTAGATGGAATATGGATCACTTTCGCGGGGGAGCACCCCATTCATCTGACTTCAAGACGACCCAAGGCACACCTTCCAACCTGAGGCCATAGTTTCAAGGTTCGGAGCAACCCTGGGTGAAGTTCCAAGCACCAAAGCCGAGGTCAAGCAACGTTGACGGAAAGAAAGGGGGGAAACAAACGTCGGAGATGTTGACTAAGTTCAGCCAAATTTAAACATGTCGTGTGGTGTGTGTTCAGCTTGGATCCCTAGAAATGTCTGCACCAATTACCATGATTCAGGAACCTTCATCATGCTGCCTTCATCATGGGGCCCAAGCTCGTGTTACCCATGCTCGCTAGAGTTGGTGCAAATATTGTGTGTGTGTACCCTTCTTGGGCTCGTTTGAAGAAGGGAAGCCAAAGGCACATCTGCACAGGTCTTCCTTTGATGCTACCCCTTTGGGCTTGACTTAAAGGGGCATGCAAAAGAGCCCGGGGAAAAAATATTTGCTTCTCAAGAATCCAAGAAGGCATGGGGAAATAGGGTATGGGTGGTCCTCCCCAAACCGACACTAGACTACCGATCATATTGGACATGTCGTCCTTCGATGGAACATTTTTTTGGTTGGATTTGAAGGGGAAGCAACTAGAGACGACACAATGCGCAAGTTGGGTGCAAAACAAGGAAGTCGACAATCTGCGACAAACAACAACAAAACACATCAATCCCCTTCTTGCCTCTAGGGGAAAATGCCGATCTGCATGTTCTTGTCCAACACCTGAAATCAGAATTTCCGCTCCTCCCGGCAAACATAGCACCCATGAGGGTACCTGGACGATCAGTTTAGCCCCTGTGAGGTGCCATCCCCCAGTGAAGGACCGATGGATTTTCGCTCGTCCCGGATCCGTGGACGACTCCGAGTCACCGGAAGACCCCGAGGACCCTTCCGCGCCTTCCACGGCGCAGCGCTGCCAAAGCACCCCGAGCTCCTCCCTGGCCTGGCACTTAGCGAAGTTTGACCAAGATACCCTTGCCAACAACGTACTGTGCTCAGAAGCCCAGTGGGATTCTATGGGAAAAAAGGGCATCCTTTTTTGTTGGTTGACTTTAAAGGGGAACCCTTCCCAAAAAAAAGAAGGGGAAAAGGGCACCACTGGGCAACTGGGTGTGGGTGGTTGCGACATCCATAAATCGCACCACCGGAATCAGAAACTTTGGAAAGATGATGTTCGATTCCCCTACGTAAATATGGGTTCCAAGTGGTGCGAAATGGTTTTTGTGCATCCACAGCAGCACCTCAAGCACCCAACTGGGCATTTCAGAGGAAGCTGATCTTCCAGGTACACTCTCAGCTCTATGCCCTGGGGTTCGGGGGCCTTAAAAAGAAAGGCCTTTAGGAAGCGGCCGTGAAATGTGGGGAACGTCCTTTGTTTGCAAGCTGGACGCTTTTAATTGGGTTGACAGTCTTGTGTTGGCCGCATTAGTAGCCACATGCCTAAGCAGTGCTTGTGGCTGAAAAGTACGCTTTCCCAAAGCCTCTCGAAAACCATGTAGACATGTTGAAGCTGGTCAATGCTCAAAGTCTTCAACTTTGTGGGATTTCTAGAGACATTGATCATGGGCTTAGCAATGGGAAATCGACAAGGGAAAAACGTGAAAATACCGTGAAATTGGCGTGAACGCCCTTTTTTTGCAGTGAAAGACCGTGAAACGCCGTGAAATTTGGCAGGCGAAAAACCACTCGCATTCGTCCTGGCTGGCGTTGTTTTCTGCTGGGTTTGAAAAGGTCTTGCTGAATGGATGTTTCGGGAAGAGCATGATTGTTCCATTGATGATGCAGAAATGTGCTGCTTTAACGTTGAGGCCTTCGCAAGTCTAGCTTGGTGTGGAAAAGGCTTGTTGCTGACGATGTAAAGTTGGAATTCCACCCAGGCCCCCATCCCCCAGCTAGTCAAACAAAGGATGTTCATGTAACGGCCTTTGTTTTAAAAGCCTTTTACCCCCCAGGGTATGTCTGTGGGAGGAAGTTCTAAGAAACCATCTCGAGGAAATTCTACAGGAAGTTACCCCAAACCCCGGGTTTTTCTTGGAAAATCACAGCCTTTCTGCGATGGCCAAGGTGGGATTCCCATCCGCACGACCGTGTTTTTGCTTTACAGGGGATTCACTCCGTGGAGTGGCCCTGAAACCACAACTATGCAACACGCCATGTTAGGGCCTGAAGCGAAACCCACCCTGAATAGCTGGGCATCCCCTTTCACGGCAGGATGCAAAAGGGGTCCCTATTTCTGGCAAGCCTCCCCCCAAAACATATTTTAGAAGAGAGCATCACAACTAGTCCATTGCCTCAATGCGCCATCAGAGGTTTATACGACTGCCTCTCTGATGTGTCCGCCAGGGACCGAAATCTGCTGCCGACTCGCATCGTGCAGCGTGCGATGTGCGAACTGGCTGACACTAAGCGAGGCGGCGGGGCCGAAAAGCTCCTGGTGAGTGGCGGCCAAAGCCACCGTCGTGGAAAATCACCCTTTCTGTGATGCCAAGCGTGATTGATTGCACTGGCTACTTTATGACCTCTAATCAGGGGAGCTGCTTGATATCACAGACACTGGCAACCCAAAACCCAGTTTCCGACCAAGAATTGTAACCAAAAAAGCAAAGGTGGCAGAAGCATTGCACGTTTTTGCTGCTTTTGATCCAGTCAGGCTAAACAGTGCGATTTTAGCAGCGTGCGCAAATAAAAGTTGTGATCCTTACTGAGTTACAATTCGGCGTCAATCCTCTTCTTCGGCTTCGGGTCTCCTCAGCTTGTTGGCGCTTGCGGAGTAAAGGGTTGCCAGTACCTGGTCGCTGCATCTGGAGGCTGGAGCGTGTTGCCAAGGGACGGAAAAATGAGTGTCCTGGAAAAGGGGGGGGGTCCCCCCCTTCCTTTTGGTCTTTTGATGGGAAGCCAAAACCGGCCAAAATCCTGGGGTTCAAACCACCATTAAAACAAGGGGAAGGGGGGGTTCAACAAACATCATTGTTTGCCTAAGGATTCTGATCGTTCAAATTGGGTCGTCCTTGCCTTGCTGTTGATCGTGGTTGAACCCTAGCGAAAAGGACAAAGCATTGGGAGGAGTCCAAGTCACACATGCACAACTCGGACTCTCAACGGCACATAGCAACCCAGCAGCAGGGGCAACATCAAGGCCTGGGCGGGTGCACCCCACCAGAAGTGAAAACACATTACCAAGTAAGAGTGCCAATTTCACCACCCCGCGCTGTTTTTAATGTGGATTTCAAGAAGGGCCTCCCCGTAATTTTCACAACCAGCCCCCTCCCATCTTCAACGTCTCTGTTCTTGGACATCCCGGTTGTCTTGAGACAAAGAGTTGCGCTTCACGTGTAGTGTCCTGCCCAAATAAACGAATGGAACAAGGAGCCAAAATTCCTGGCGCCCCCGAAATATCAATTTGCGCAGTGAGCATACAACCAGATTTGTCACTGCCCGAGTCGGGTCCTTGCCATAGGTGTTCTGTTTGGAAAATGGACAACCCTGGGGGTTCAATAAATCTGCCAGGAATCGCCTGCAATTGTTCAACCAAACCAACCAAAAAGGACACCTATGGTCCTTTAGAGCTTTGTCCACCGAACATTCCGATGGCCTCCAGCTGCGGCTACATTCCAGCTCCCGTCCCTTGAGCCGAAACGTGGTCGGCCAGATCAGGAGGCGAGCTAAGTGGCAAGCGACCCTGGTCAAGTATACTAACACTTGGGTGACTTGCAACCCTGGCTTTGCTGGGGCAAAGACATGGTTGCTATATGGGTGTGTCTTTTGTCGGAGTGTAACCTCTTGTCGGCTGCTTCAAAAGGAAGCCACAAGAGAGAAAACACGATGGTGGAATTCCCCCATGTTGAGACAAACCCGTAAATATAACAACCACTAGGCATCCTGCTCCATTAAGTGTGGCAGGCTTGGCTGGCCCGAGTCAGAAAGGATGGCGTTGGCAGTAATTCGAGCCACACCAGAAGCATCAGAAACCGTCTATCTTCCACCAAACACACCCAAACACACACCCACCCCTGCAATGTGCTTTAGGCTATCATGTTAAGCCCTGCCAGGAAAAACGCGGTATTCACCATGAGGCTTCTCAAAATACACCTTTGTTGCCGGTATTTGGAGGTTCCCAAAATAGGGGCCCACCCTAAGACTGGTTGTCCTTGAGTTTCCCTTTAACCCCACAACTCAGCACTTTCCCCACGGCCAGCACATCTGCCGGCTCAGCCGAAGGGGTAGTGGCGTGAGCGGTGCTTCCTGCGAAGCCGCGCCCTTCCGAGATGGGTTCCGCAAATTCCAGAACCACACAGGTAAAAATTGGGTATAGTTCTATGTCGTCTATGTAGTGGTTGTATATCTCATTGCATCCGGGGGTCCTAGTGGAAATAATCTTAGGCAGTTGCAACCTGAACCCGCCCACGAGCTGAAAGAACAGCAAACATGTTGGTGTTTTTTTCTGAGTTGGTACCATCTTGGGCGGAGTTGGGTGGCTTTCAGGACATCTAAAAGTCAGCACCGATTTTGTGAGACCCCATCTAGGCATTGCTCCGGCTCCTGTCGTAAGCAAGCTGGAACTTGTCGAGAAGGTCGGAGGTATGTGCACAAACCTGCCATGTTGAACTGCCAATATGCTGCGAAACGAAGGCAGGACCACAGGTGTCCTTTTAGGGGAAATAGATGGCCCTGGTAGATGATTAAACCACCAGGTAAACCATGGCCATCTATTTTTCTAGCAAAACAACCAAAAAGGACACCTATGGGCATCACAATGGGCGCCTTGGTCAGAGTGGCCAGCAGAACCACCAGAGTGGCATCGTTGAACTCGCCGCAGAACTCCTATGCCAGAATTTGGGCTCACTGCAGCATGGGACCATTGTGGGGCAAGATGCTGAAACGTCACCTGAACAGGTCATTCGGACTTGCTCTCAGTTAGGGCTGCCCTTTCCTCGTTTGCTTTCTTGGAGGGGGACCAGTTTGGCATACCTCCAAAAGAAAGCTACATTTCTAGGCAGGCCATTTTTCTTCTACGGTAGCCTTGGGAACTTGGTACCAGGGCTGTGGGAAATGACTACCTCTGCGACACAACAGAAAGGAAGGGGGAGGAAGTGGATAAGGATGGACGAAATCCTGCACCACCCCAAAAAACACTGGTTTCTGGGGATTTCCCCGTCAACACCAACAATCCACCGTTTCCCCTGGTTTCAAGGTGGTGCGACATAGATTTTGTAACCATCCACGGAAACAGCACAAGAAAAAGAAACCACGGGCTGAGTGGCTCTGGCGGGTCCCGGGCCTGCTTCAAGGAGCTGGGGTGCACGGACTGGAGCGCCTCCCAAGCAAACGTCTTTCGTTTTGAGGCGCTCGGTGGCGACTTTGGGTCGGGGTAAAGGGAAACCCAAACTCAGATGCCCAGTGGCAATTGGCACAACAAGGGCATTGGTGGAGTTTCAAAAAGAACCTTTCCCCAAAAAGAGAGAAAAGAGAGCGCCACTGGGCAAACGGGCAAAGGAAACCAGCCATCTTGGGGTTCAATTGCCTTTGACCATGTGGGTGATGCTTGTTCGTTCTTTTTGTGGGACATGTCGCATTGAATCGGTAACACCCGGTATTGAAACAAATCGATGCCCATCCCTACCAACCCCAAATTCATTGTCCCCCCCAATGACATTTAAATTTGGCGTTGCCCCCCCCCCTCCCCCCCACTCCCTCATTGCAATTTAACTATATAAAAATGGTTGTCCCCTTTCCAATCCACGGCATGTTTGTCGGGACCGCAAACCAAAAATTGCTTCTCCTTCGCTTTCCATTGGAAGACCCCCCCAAAAGGGCGGCCAGCCCAAACCACCCAAGGCCCAAGGAGTGACCCATCCGGCCCAACCCAATCCCGCTCGCTCGCTCGCTGCGCTCGAGAGGAACCAGCGAAACGAGAAAGACGCCTGGCAGATGGACAGCGTCTGCCGCAAAACCTCCTGGTTCTTGGGCGCTCGGCCTTCCTGACGGAATCCGCTGCCAGAAGTTATCGAAGCAAACCTCATGGATCCCTTGGGTTTCGGGTTTTTGGTTTGGTTTGCTTGGCGGTCTGGGTTGTTTGGCTTGTGGTTTGCTTGTTGGATTTTGTTTGTTGGTGCGTGAAAAACGCAAATCATCGATTCCTGCTCATGTGCGATCTGACCAACCAAAAACCGACCTCTGCAGATTCTATGATTCCCAATTCAGCCGCAAATAAGAACCGGATCCCCAAATCAAAGACCTCCATCCTGGGAAAGCTCCTCCCCCCCCCCCCACGAATTGGAGAGCTCGCTATTTGCGTCGCCCAGCGCAGGACCCCACTCGCAACCAGCGGCTCCCCTGAGCTCGTTTTCGGCCGGTTTCGAAGGTCTGAGCTCGTTTTCGGCCGGTTTCGAAGGTCTGATGGTTTTGAGCACATCAGAGGATGAACACGGGCAGTACTGACCAGAAGCTTCCAGCAGAAAAGACGAAACCGCCCAAACCGCCAAAACCACGATGCACTCTCAGAGTAAAAACATAGCGCAAGGCAACGGAATACCGGGGAAATCATCTTCCCGGGGTAGTGGAAGGGGGATAATGAACATCCTCTGGGCCAGAATGTGGCTAGGTCTTACCATCGGGGACCTCAAACATGTTTGCTTTTCCCTTTGGTCTCCAGGTAGCCTCAAAACCAACAGACCCATCTGGATCTGGCGCTGTGGTCTTTTCTTGTCTGCCGCAAGACGAAGCCGTCGGTTTTTTCTTCGGTCCTTCACGTCCTTGATGTGCTCCAAGAGCTCCTTGATCCGGTTGCTGAGCATCACCTGGCCCAAAAAAGACGCCAATCCGTGACCGGGGGTTGGGAGAGCTGGATGGGTTCTGGTCAATGGCTTGCTCAAAGCGAAACCAGTGGGGTTCCATCCATCAAGGCTACAGAAATCCAACAAGGCGAGGACCTTGTGAACACCATCTCTCTGTTGCTTTTGCTTTATGGACGCAGGTTGTCGCTCAGGTCGCAAAGAAGCGACACCCGAAAGACATGCCAGAAGCCGCCACGGAGTTTGACAGACCGCTGGTATGCTGAGTGAAGTCGGACGAATAGCCTGGCAGCTGCTCCAGCTCGGCATACTCTATGGCTTCCACCAGGACTCAAACCGAAGCTACTGTGGATGGACGAAATCCTGAACCACCAAAGAAGCCCTGGGATGATGATTCCCCTGAAAATACCAACAAACAATGGTTTCCCATGGTTTTAAAGCCGTGCAGGATTTTGTCCATCCACAGTATCACACCGAGGGCTGAACGGCGTGTATGCCTTTGAAACAAAGTGGCTATAGCGGCTGTTCCTATCAAACTGCGGGTAGTGGAACCATCTTAGAGGCAACTGTCGGGCACTGACTGAGGCACGGCTCTCAAGGCTTCCTACTTGCCGCCTGCTGCAGCAGTTGTTGCAGACTTGGCCACGTGATTGACCTGAGAAGGCTGCACCACATAGTTATGCAAGCAGAACAGCTGTGTCTGATGCCTGCAACGGATGTTTTGGCATCCTGCTTGTCGCATGATGGCAAACCATAATATATATATATATATATGTATATATAGATATACCCATGCAAGCCGACTGGGACAGTGCACAAACAAACAAAACGCTCAACTGGGCAGCTGGCTGCTATTCGCTCTGCTTCCAGCGTGTCAATGATGTAGGGTACCTTGACACATCTCCACTCGCGCATGGCACTCAGTAAAAAAACAAAAAACGCTGGGAGTCGGGAGGGCAGCGGCACAAGCACGGGTGTGATGTGTTTGAGGGCAACCCTTTTTTGCAAAGGAACAGCCAAACATCCTGAACAAAACTCCCGCGTTTTGAAGGCAACCACCCTTTTGGGGTGCCCAAAGCCTAAGAAAGGACGGCAGTGAGTCGTTTCGCGGCGCCTCATTCCAGGTGACCTTCGCCACACCGTGCTCGATGTGGGTCGTGGCATCATAGACCTGCCAGCGGAAAAAAAAAAGACCATAGACCAACAATTGACAACAATTGTCTCAAAAAAACACACACCATCAAGACCATTGCAAATCGTGCTTGAAACTTACGTTCACAACTTTAATTCAGGAGCCTTGGTTAGCATTGAGGGGAAATGAATGCATGTCCGCCAAACCACTTTGGAGGTTGCATATTCACTTATGTTCACCTGGATGCTAATTTTCTACTCCAGGAGCCTTTGCTGGACATTGAGGGGAACACCAAACCACTTTCGATAACATGCATAGCCACGTTTCCCCACGAGGACATGGGAAGTTTAGTGCTCCTCCGTGTGTGTTTTTTTTGTGAAGAACATTTAGTGCTTGTCCCCCATATCCGGAAGCCACGAAGGAGCATGGACCTCATATGACTTGATATCACGCAACTCCATGCGTGGCCTTCACAGGGAGCTCCTCGGATTGCGATGCCTGGCAGAGGATGTCAGGATCTCAACTTGGAACGCGCCAATTGACAAAGGCCTACTGATCACATCAACTGCCTTCATGCGTGCGTTGCGCTGAGTAGCATGCTATGGTAGCAATATGCCCGCATCAAGATCTACGTATGTCCGTGACACGCCGACACCGCCACGGCCAGGCGCATGAACGAATCCCACCTTCTGTTGAGACATCTTCTCCGCATCCACAAGGAGGGCGAAGGGGTTCTCATTGGCCCCGACCTGGACATCACACATCTAAATGGACACCTCCAAAGCATGACGACCCCTCCAAGCCACAATCAAAGTGAAGTGGGATGCTCTCACCTATGGTACTGTCCTCTGCAAATCTGAGGTGCCAAACCGATGTCCTCTGCGGCTTCCTCTTGGTTTCCCTTCCAAACCCCTCCAAAGGGTCAAACCTGTTTCGGGTTTAAAGCCAATCCAACAGGGGGCCAACCTGAAACTGAACAAATCCATTGGCTCCTGGGCTTTTCCTTTGAAACCCTACAACAGGGCCCAAACGTTCCGCTCAAAAACTTAGCCAAGGTGTTTGTTTCGCAGTTAGAAACCTACCGCTTCAGGTGACCAATTCCTATTTGGATCAACTTGGGTGTGTGTGTGTCCAAATTGGGATCTGGACCCCAGTGGTGTTTTTTTTGGTTCCCTTCGAACCAATCGAAGATAAATACGTACCCTGAGCCTCAAAAAAAAAAGCAAATGTGGGAATGTCTATTGGTTTCTAGTGCCACAGTCAAATCACTCCTTGAGCTTGGTAGGCGGACCCCTTTACTTGGATGTTCGACCAACTTAAGTAGGAAATCCAAGGGCTATAACGGGCCTAAGCCCAGTTGCCTCACTCATAACAATGATTATCACCTACTTGCTGGTTATAACTATAAGCTACCCGGACCCTCAAACTACACTGTACAAAGGGACACCACCCCATTGTTTTGAGTGTTCTTCCATTTTATGGGTAGTTGCAGGGTCCAGCTTTCCTAACGTTGGCACTGAACATCCAAGTAGGGACTACCTGACCTTGGTTTTTCACATCCAAGGGGTTTCTCACATCTAAGTGGCTGTGGGTCAAAAGAAGGGACCCCCAAATGGGTTGCTCTGGCAAATGGACGCATGGACCCAATCCTGCGGTCCAATACTTGGTGGTGACTAATTTTACACAGCCAAGTGGAGGTTGAACATCCAAGTGGGCACTACGTTTTCTTTTTTTCACATACCCTCCCACCAATCGGGACCCGGTCCTTTTAAAAGGAAAATGGTCTTAGACCCTGTCAGGTGCCACAATTGTTTTGCTCGGGTGGTGAAGACCCCGGGATTTTCCAAAAAGGCACCGCCCATCGACAGCTCTTGAGGGCCTCCTGGATCTTCTTGTGCAGAGCACGATCCGCCTCCTCCGGCTGCGACCCAGTGGAATACCAGCCTCACGTTCCACGGCCATAGAGGTTGACCGGCGAGGGTGGTTTTAGGGCCAAGCTGTCCGGTTGCTTTTTTGGCCTCATTGAAGCAAATGGCTTCAAAAAGCACAGGAAATATGTTTTTTTAGGCAAAGGAAGAAAGAAATGCAAGAACAGTAACATGATGCCACCATCATCTGTGTGATGGGGGCGTTGCTCACAATAGGAATTGGTCCCCACAATGGCAAAGGCTTCCTTTTGGGGTATTCCAGCCACAGTCGGGGACGCCCTTTTTTGGCAGGTGCACGTTAGGCTTTGTCATCCCCTTTACGGACATAAAGGTATTGGTGCCATCTAATGCTTCAGAAAAGAACAAATCTCAGCCGGGGGTTGGGCTTTTCCCATCATGCCGCTGCCACCTAATCCAAAGGTGGTTGGGTTCCAAGATCTCCGAAGGCGGGTTGGGGTTGGGACTCTTCGACCCCCGGAAAACAGCGTCGAAACTCAAGTCGTGGGCCCTGGCTTTTTGTTGGGCCTAAACGACCCAACAATGAAAGGTTTGGCCACTGGCGCAAAGCGAAAACGGCCCGGCAACTGAGGCGCCCCACCGAGGAACTCGTATCTTGGGAAGACCTGAGGCTCTGCGGTGGCATTGACTCAAGGGCCAACCACGAAAACACACAACAAAATGATACGTAGAGGCTCGACCTCATGCAGAACATGACTCATGAGACAGTTGGTGGTTCGTTGATCCCTGTCTTGAAGGGATCAAGTCTCGGTGGGATATGTGGTAAATCCCTCAAGTCCAAGGGTTGGCCGGGAACCGTCAGCACATGGAGGCCTCCATGTACTGCGCCAGGCGCTGCTGAAAGAACTCGAGGTCAATCGTCCTCAAGGTCTCAAGTTTGGCAGAAAGGGAAGTCAAAAGGAAATCCCCTCAACGATTTTGGGAGTCCCCTCTGTCAAAAGGGAGCTCTGTCAAAAGTCCGAAGTCAATTTCGGGAGTCCCCCCTGTTTTGACGATCCAGTATTACATCCGCAGACAACCAACGGCAAACCCAATGTTGACTCCGGATTGACAAACATGACGTCTCGTCCCACAATGGATCCCTTCTAAACTGGGACACTCCCCATTCAACCAGGAGCATACTCATCCTGAGTACCCATTGTGGGAGAGCATGGTGACTGAAAAACACCGTTGGGTCCTTGCTCCCCTACCATAGCATCTGTGGGAGGGTATTTGAAAGAACGAATTCTGAGCAAATTCCTATTGAAAGGGCCCCTGTCAGGTGTCATGTTAGTGGGAAGAAGGGTACATTGTAACATCGCCTGTCAATGTTCTGTCCTCTCACCCTCCGACTCCACCGAAACCAGCTCAAAGGAGTTGTGGACGTCCACTCGCCTGAAGAGAAGTCCCGGTCAACCCCTGCCACACACACACACACATACATACATATATAGATATATATATATATATCATATATATCATATATATCATATATATATATGGTGAATCCGCTCTTGTTGGCGGAGTTTTGTGAGGAACCCCTTTTAAGGGTTGGTTTGTAACGACAACACCAGCGCCAGTCTTCCACCCCAGCGTAGCTCCGCGCGGCCGCGCGCCTGCCCTCCTGAGCCCCGAGAAGAGCTCCTAGCACTCGCTCCGGCCTCACGTGAGCGAGCGAATCCAATCGCTGGGCTGGACCCTGGGCTCCAACTCTTCATGTGCCCCGAATGCACCAAATCGACGGAACCCAGACCACCCTCGGCCAAAGTGATGCGACACAAAGTTTGGACAGGAAGATTGACCGAAAGAGTCAGTCTACGGACAGGGGCCAGAAATGTTCACCTCTTGCCATTGACTTGCTGGTGCAACAGGCAGGGAATGAGGGATTGACCCTTACACCATTCAACTGGTGGTTTCCTAGGGAACCAAAGCCTGGGTTCATTCACGTTCCCTACCTATCGCACCAACAAGTTGAGCACAACGGCAGTGGACCCCAAGGAGCCACGTGACTCGGCAATCGGGGCTCCCGACCGCCCGGCGCTCCGGAAACGCACCACGTGATCCGAGACATTGATGAGCACCTGAGATGTTGGGCGAAGCGAAGCTCCCAAAAGCCTGGCCTTGGGGGTCATTGCTGCCTTCGGAATCCTTGTCATGTGTTGTTTTCTGATTTGTTTAAAAAAAAACAGCTCCCTTTTAAGCTTGACAATGGTCCATGAACGTCTCTGCCAAATGGGTGCTCTGCCGATGCTTCTGGCTGGTCAATTTGAGAAAACCCAAAGTTGGTGTACAAGGCTTTGAGCGGTGGTACTCATTCGCACGAGCATCTGAGCAGGGTGTTGCCCTTGAATCCGCACATGGCCATGTTTAATTTGGCGGGGACCCTTGGACATCATTCAGGTGGAGATTTGTGTCCACCCACCACTTGTGCAGGGGTTCCCTGTTAAATTTGAACTCAACACCGCTTGGACATGAGTCCTTTGTCCAAAAAACAATGTTCAGTGGAATCCCCAACAATTTTACGAGGGTTAGTTCCAACCACCAACGTTGAATTCCCACGTTACTTCGCGCAAACGCGATTTGCTCGCAGTCTAGGTGCCAGCGGGTGAAGGTGTACATCGAGACCCGCAGCAGCAGCCGCCATGGCACGCGACCGCCAGCTTTTCTTTTTGTCGGAGAATGAGCTGCTCACTGACACTCTCAGACCTTGCTCAACCAAAGTCCAGTTCCGGGAACTTGCCGCCATGTGCCATGTGCCACCAAGCTCCGGTTTTCTCTTTCGGCTGGACTCCGTGCCCATGCCGAACTTTCATGGTGTACATGTGGTGCTTCGCACAAAGAGCCAAAGAGCTGAGCCGGGCCTGATCGATCGTGGGCCCATTCCAAGTGGCGGAAGGTGATCAAAGCGGGGGAGGGGGGGGGGAGGGGAGGGGGGGAGGAGGGAGGAGGGAGGGAGGGGAGGGAGGGAGGGAGGGAGGGGAGGGAGGGGAGGGGAGGGGAGGGAGGGAGGGAGAGGGGAGGGGAGGGGAGGGGAGAGGGGAGGGAGGGGAGGGGAGGGGGGGGAGGAGGGGAGGGGAGGGAGGGGAGGGGAGGGGAGGGGAGGGGGAGAGGGGGAGGGGAGGGGAGGGGAGGGGAGGGGAGGGAGGGAGAACTTCTCAAAAGGTTCACTTCAAGTGACCCAGTCGCAAGGTTTCAGATTCCACCATAAGGAGGGCAGGGCGAGGTTTGTCCAGCACCCTGACACACTCCGACTCACGGCACGACATGGCAATACTCCGCACCCATTCCACTCGTGCCATGTTTTCCCCCGCGCTCACAACTCTGTTCTGCTCTCGCCACCTTCCGAGGCCAGGCGACACCCGCATCTCTTGGGTCTGAAGGCTCCTACAAGTGTTTTGTACCTTGCAGACTTATGCTCCATAGTAGCTATCGAGTCACAGTCCCTCCATAGTGCTAAGCCCGCAAATTGTGAACAGCGCAAATCAATTCACAACACATCGAATGCCTGCCTTATCTTTGCCTGCGATGACCTCTGTTCCATAAGGCACAGTCTGCGGGAGGGAAAATTATCGAGCTGTGTCCGGCTACCACATCGTTCACCATGTGAAGCCTCATTGACGAAAATTGCCTTTCTAATTCGGCCCTATTGAAGAATGGATCGATCAACTCTCCGGTAATGAACATTTGAAAAGGAAAAGGCTTGTCAGCAAAGGAACATCTGGAAAGCTCACACAGATTACCCACACAGATTACCCTCGAGTGACTTCAGTGGATACAGCCGCTTGAAAAGCATCCCATCAACTGAGGAACACTATTGCGTGTGTGTGTGTGTGTGCGCGCGCGTGTGAACGCGGAATTGGATCGAAGCAATACACAAGGCTGAAAGATGGCATGATTCCCCTTGCGTGGGCACGGGGATGACTCAACCAACATGCTTTGGAGTTGTGCCATCTGCCTGGAGTCTCTCTAACAAACACAACACTTCAAGGCAAACAAAAACACAGTATATACCTCAAAGCCAGCCAAAAGCGGACCGGATGAGGCGGGCGGCGCGAAGCGTTTACACTTATGTATGTATGTATGTATGCATGCATGTATGTATATATATATATATATATATTTGTACACATATACATATATATATATATATATATTGTATGCATGTATAGTATGACACTCAATGCAGCGGAAACTGCGCCGGCCCCTGCCTTCGGCCAGTCGCAGCGTGAACTCTGGCCCCGCCGTGCCGGTGACCTCGATCTCCAGTCAATCAGAGACCCTTTGGAGACCCCCATGGCCCACAGAAAAAAGGAAACACCTACAACAGCACGTTCTTACAAAGGCTACATGACATGTGTGTGTGTGTGTGTGTCCGTGTGACCAGAAGGTGGAGATGTGATACTTTTACCTGGCTTTTTACTGGCCCTCAGCACAAGGCCTCCCCTCATGTTGGCTGACAACCCCTACTCTACAAAGAAAGGGGTACACGGCAAAGAACATCTTCTGACTTTGCTGCACGTTTGGTCGACCCTATGGTTTTTTGCCTAAAGGAAGAGCCCGAGGAGACCCCAAAGCAGACACAATCAAAACCCGCCCGTGGCTGGGACTGCACCCTCCGCCGCGCTTCAAATAAGACCCATGCGGACTGAAGGCGGGGAAGCCTTGGATCCTTTGAAGCCGCTCAAGTGGGCAAGCTGCAAAAATCCGATTCGCCCAGTGACACATGGCCTTGTCTCTTAACTAGGGGAACCCTCCGCTCCTTTGGTTTGCCTTTCCACCAACCCCCCAAAAAAAGGTACCCTCAACAACAAACACACGCCCAAACGCGACGCATGCAGAAAATTTCGACCTCAAAGGCGGGGAGCTTCCAACGGTGGAATCTACAATTGTTGAACAAAGGGGCGTCCGGCCGGGCTGTGGCGTGGCATTCGCATTTGGCTGCCAAATTGACCAACTCTGCTGTTGCCGATGAAGTGGTTCAAGCAATCAAAGGGACACGTGGGGATCACATCCCAAACCAATGCTCGATTGAGCAGCGCCCCAAAGTAGCTGTGCACATGATTTACCAACACCGCACCTAAAGGTGCTCTGACAGGGGGTCCTGAAGACCATTTTCCTTTTAAGGGACCCCCTGTCAGGTTCCATGTTGATTGGTGTGAGGGCAAATGGCAGTCATCTTGTTCACAGATACGTGCCCAAGGTACCTCTTCGTGTCTTGTGTAGTACTATGTTCGTGTCAGGACGCCTGGACCTTGTCTCTCTGCAAGTGTGTGTAGTTCGGTGAGACGAAAATGGGAAGCCACGCGTGTAGGGTTTTGCTTAAAATTGATTGAGCCCCACGTCCCCCACGTCCCCCCCACGTCCATCCCACACACCCCCCACGTCCATCCCACACCCCAAAACCCCGCCGAAGCCGCACCTTGGCCGCCCCCTGGCGCACGGAGACCCGCAGAGCCGCAACTCCGCCCTTGCGCAGAGGCAGCGGCTCCAGGAGCCCTGCGCGCGCGGTTTGCTCGGGCGCCGCAGGCGCCGCGGATGGCGTTGGAAGTGGAGGGTTCAAGCAAAAAGCCCGCTCAAAAAAGGCAGGTGAGAAGTCGACCACTCAAAATGGCCACGCAAAAAAGGGCGTGTGGAAGTGCCCCTGGGGGTGGATTAGAGGATAGTAAGCGTGGTACCCACTTGGGGGACTGAAGTGGGTTGCACCAACTATGCTTGCTTCTCCAACACTGATTCCAGAGAAATGGTCATTTTCCTTTGCAGGATCATGATCTTAGGGCGCAACACATGGCCCAAGTCCAACACAGGGCCCGGTGTTCAGTCCATGTCATGCCTGGTTGGGTGTTCGGCTTCGCTACCGCCTGCACCTCACAAGCGGATGGGCGGATTGGGGCCATTGGGGGAGTAATTAGCTCTCACGTCAAGCCACGGTTTGGATGTTCATAGCAAAAACAATCTCAATCATTGGGGATTGAATCCGAATTGGGGCCCTTTTGTGGACAATCATCTAGGGGATTGATGTCCAACCACCTTTGAGGTGCTTCCCCACTAAAATCATTGCCATTGCTCCAAGGAGGAACCCCCGAAATTCGGAGAGAAAAACACCTGGGGTTGAAGGGCACCGGCTGTCTCACGTCATTTGGGCTCAATCAAAATCCAAATTTGGGCAAACATAGCCAGTGCTTCCAGGCAAGCCACTATAGCAAGGTATTCTTACCTCTAGGTTTTACATCATGGGGAAACTCCTGGTTACCTGCAACAGTGGCTGGCCTGGAAGAACTGGATAGCTTGATTTACCAAAGGCAGATAACAGCCCCTTTTGGAAAGCACCTGCATGTGGCCGCATGACGACGCATTATGACATGGCGACTTCTCGTCGCCTGCTGATGTGCGTGTGGGGGGTCATTCGGGCAATGTGAAGTGACCAGTGTGGGAGTTGGGAATTGCAACTACTTCTGTGATGTGCCTGGGAAGCCTTCCTGATGACGAATCCAGCGCTTTCAAGGGGGTTCCGTGGTATCGAATCATAGAAGCGGGAAACATACGCTGGTTCCTACAACTCTGGAAGTGATTTATGAGTGGCTGAAGATCGGAACCGGGTGCAATGTTCCATGACAAAAGCACAAAAAACAAGTTGGTCTGGAACGTATTGATAATATCTCACCTCACCAGGATTCCATGCTGATCCAAATATGCCGGTCCACTGAATCTTGTCAAATGTTGCTTCAGCTCCCTGAAAGATTTCAGTAGCGACGTCAGGATACAAAGCGCTTCTCTTTGAGAATGAGATTTGATTGGGTGCCTCATGGTGGACATCATGTACGGGGTGTTCTTTTGTCCACAAATTTCATAGCCATGCCATCTTTCCGCTAAACCAGTTCTCGACGCAACTGGGCGCTCTGCGTAATGAGGCCAGGTCAGGTCGCGCCCCAGATAGGAACCTTGCATCCCAAAGCAGTATCCCGCACCCGGAACCCTCCAGGAACCCTCCAAGAAAACTGCCCCAATCCTTGGGTTGGCGGTCTGTGTTTGGGAAGCAGGGGAGAAGCTCGGTTTGGGGCAATTCAGGAACCAAAGTACAGGTCATGCGCCGGATGCACACGGAGAATCGTTTGTACACTTTCTAGTGGGGCGACTCTTGGGAATCTCCAGGGCGCTTTTGTCCCTCCTCAAGGATTCAACCATGTTGAACGGGGGCGCCCAGTTCTGTCACTGCCCGCTTGGATTGAATCGAGCAACTGTCCGCGCCAAGTCGTTGTGAAGACGAAAACACCTCAGCGGGCGTCACTACTCAAACATCAGCGCCACGGGGGTCCGACACTTCTTTTTCTTGCTGGTGCTCAGTAGGGAATGAGGGAATGAACCCAGGGGTCTCCTTTGAAAGAAACCACAACGGATGGTTTGTAAGGGTCATTCCTCATTCCCTGCTGAGGACCAGCAAGTTTTTGGCCTCACGCCTCCCCCAATTTATAGGAAGCTGCACCCGCCAAACTCTCCCAACAATTTGCCAGCGTCCGGAGCTCATGCGGGTTCATCCCCAAAAATAGGATCGTCTCTTGAAAGACTCAAAACGGGTGGCTTCCTCTTGGCTCCCTGTTGCGGGTTCAAAAAAGGCAATGCCACGACTCTGAGCTTCCACTTCCTCCGAGCCGCGGCCCAGCGTGCTACGATGGCGTGCACCTGCCCATCCTCCACCACACGGAGCTCCCGCACAAAGGTCTCCTGCACTTGAATTTCACCCAACTCGGGTTGTCTGGGGAAGTGTCAGCAGCACCCAGCCAAGCCACAATCACCCGCATTTAACCCCCTGCCGCATTTTTTTTCCGGTTTAGCCACCCCAAAGGGCCATCCAACAGGTTCCGGCGTTCCGGCACTCGAAGCATCGATCGCTTCGGTCCTCTTTGGTCATCGGCCCTGTACCGTAGGCATTGAGGTCCTAGGAGCCCGCTCGATGGCGCTCTGCAAGTCAAGAGAGTGTCCAGCGGCCCCAAACCGAAGCGAAGCTAGACAAGATAAACCTGGATTTGGTTTGCCCTCTATTTGTTCGTTCGTTTTGCTGTTGTTTTATACAAGCTCCCCAACCAAGCCCCGAACCACCAATGGGATACACAGCCACCGGCCACTTGGTAAAGGGCAATCTGGGGGTAGCTTCGGTTCAGGGACGTTGAACATCCTAGAGTTTTGGCACCCGGCCACGTGGTAGATGCACTCGGGCGGAGACAGCCACCTGTGACACAAAAACCGGAGGAAGGGTCCCAAGCCCAAATGCGGGTGCTGTCCTTTGTCAGGCGACCCCCGCAAAAAAAATGCGGTTTTCTTGTTGGTCTCCCTTTTATGGTAGCAGTAGCAGCAGCAGCAGTAGTAGCACTAGTACTGGTAGTACTAGTATATAGTAGCACCAGTAGTACTAGTAGTACCTCCAGTACGTAGTAGTACTAGCAGGACGAGCGCATCTATTTTTGAGGTTCCCCTGGCGACCACCGCAGCTCACAAAGTGCTGCTCCGGCCACAAAATCTGCTCCGCTTTTGCGCTGCTATGTCTTTGAGTTGCTATGCCTTTGCTTGGACATGTCTTTGCTTTGCCGTGTCTTTGCTTTGCTATGTGCTATCTCTCTACTTAGTTTTGTCCTTGCTTGGCTATCTCTTTAGTTGGCAATGTCGTTGCTTGGTTGTTTCTTCACTTGTTCATTTCTTGGCTTGTCTAGTGTGAGTCGTCCGTAACTCAGAAGTTTCTCGTCTAAGTTTTGACCACGTCATCGTATTTCAGCTGATTTTGACACGTGAACCTTTTCAGCAAATACTGTTGTTTCAATGTTCGTGCGAAATATGATGCTCCTATTTTGTGTATGTGTATGCTCACTCAAGATGCGTCCACAACATGATATTGTATAAGGCATGCGCTGGGAAGCACGGGACCGTGTTTGGACTTTTCAAGCGGCAAAAGGCGATTGTGCTCTCAGTCTCCCTGCCTGTAGCGCAGCGACGAGTGTGAACCCAGCCATTTGGTATAAGGAACCTCGAATTTCATCCATGGAACCTGACTGGGGACCCTCCGTGGCTTCCAGTTTCTGGGGGGCCTTCATGTTGGGGGCAAATGTCACAGCGATGCATCTCAACTCAGCTGGATTCAACCTGCGACCAAACCCATCTGAGCAGTGCCCGAATCCCATTGACGTGTGATTCTAGATGGCTACAAAGGTTGAATCTCACTTCGCCCTTAACCTCCATGAAACCAGGTGCTAGAACTACCTAGCTCGGAGAATGCAAACTAGGTGTTGGGCTCTGCTGTGAGCATGAGCTACAAATCGAAAAACTCCTCTGCTCTGAGTCTCTTGCGAGTTGAGTTAGGACTCCTTGTCGTCGAGCCTGCAGGCTTGGCCAACGCTTGCCTACAGACTCGATGGACCTGGCTTCACATGTGGGCATCGAATTTTAAGCAAAGGAACCCGAAATGGTGGACCTTTTCTTAGGTGCGGATTCAGGTCCAACCACTTTTGAGGTGGTTCCGAATTAAACCGCATAGCCATGTAACGGACTGCAGCCCCTTTATCCCTTTCTAGCTAGGACATCCTCTCGAAACTGCCTGCTGCTGGCTGTGAGTCAAAACTGAACCCGAAAGGTCCAAACATTGAAGAGGAACGTGAGTGACACTCTGAGCGCTCAGCTTCCTCATTCCAAACTGTGAGATCCACCTCAAGGCAAACTTCGATCAATCGAAAGGTGTCAGCTGATTGGAGTCAAACTTTCGGAGCCTCTAATGGATGCTCAAAGGTCCTTTTCCGCAGATCAATCAGCTCAACTTGCCTCACTTCCAATAGGAGCCCTGGGACTTCTACACCCTTGGTTTGGGCTCGACATTCGGCCCCAAATTTGCGCAGAATATGTCCGCAGGTCTCCAAACCTCCTGCCAGTGCCCGCGTGGTATGGAGAACATGTACGACAGCTCCTCACCTCGGCAAGCTCTCCGAGTGGATCTCGGCAAAACACACACACACACACACACACACCACACATCACACATCACACATCACACATCACACATCACACATCACACATCACACATCACACATCACACATCACACATCACACATCACACACACACACAAGTCAACACTTCTGTCAGTACATACAAAAGAGACATGACCCTGTACAAGGTGAAATCGCTGAAACAAGCTGGCCGCTAACCAATTGGAAAACGAGCAGTCCAGGAGCACCCACAAACACTCACAAACACTCCTAACGGGGATTCTCCTTCACATCGAACCTCCAAAGTGGCGTGTTATCCCTTGAGTCACCCTTTAAATCCATCCCAAAACAGGACGATTCAAACCAACAAAATACGTCCCCAAATGCCCCAAATCATCTGACATCTACCTCCCGCATCCCGCAGCATCCATGCTTAAACCTCCTCGGGTGCCCCCTTGAAAGGGAAAACAAACTTAACCGCAGTCTCTCTCTCAAACCACCACCCGCTAAAGTGTCGCCCAGGTTTGTCGCCACTAAAGGGTAGCCCGTCTTGCATGGGTAGTGGAAACTATCTCAGAACCTTGACACATCACTCCGTTTGGAGGAAACTCCCTTTAAGATTGCCCGAAAGGTGACGATACGTTATTTACTACCAGCAGCAGTGGAAATATGGGGCAGGGCTTTCAATTTCTCCAAAACTGCGTGACCGTGATAGACCTTTAAAACACATTTCAACCCCGCACCATTTCAAATGAAGGAAGTTCCCTAGATTGAGATTCGTAGCCATGTGGGTGTATGTGTCTGTTTTTTAGGTGATCCCCCCCTAACATTGTGAAACTTTGGCTTTCTGCTTGGTTTCCCTTTAAACCCACAAAGAAAACACGGTACCCTCCAAAAGCGCCCGACCCCTTGAAGGGCACCCCTCGAATTTCTCCGCCAGAGCACTCTCCACCAGGCCCAGCTCCAGGCAAGCACTGCCCGGCACCACCAGTCCATCCGCCTGGGAAATGTCCCGTCGCTTCGATCCATTTCAAAAAACAAACTGCGGGAGGAAAAAAGAAAAAAAATAAACGACCCTCGGCGGCAAACTCGTGATGACCTTTTCACCCCAAAGAACCTCGCTGGGAAATCGCGGTGAGAGGCACTCAAACCTTGGCTGCGGCCAACAAAACACCTAATCAAGGACGGAATCCCTCAAAACTATCCCAAACTTGGTTGCAGGAAGAACATATCCAATGTTCCGCGCTCGGAATTGCATCCCAATCCACCAAAAAAGCCACCTAAGGGAATCTTCCGGAATCTTGGAATCCCGGTTCGTGAATGTCATCCCAATCCACAAGCCGCCAGTTCCCGGGAGTTCCCGATTTTTGTCCGAGGGAATCCACACGGAATCCACCTGGCGCGTGAAGTTGTCCCAGCCCGGTCAGGCCTTCAGCAGCTCCTTACGGATCTGCGGCAGCAGGGCGAAGGGGCTGAGCCCGTGCAGCGGCGTGCCTGGCGCTCTGGCGCTCTGGCGCTCTGGCGCTCGGCCGCGGAGGGATGGGGAGGAGGGTACGGGGGGGACGGGGGTGGTGTTTCTTTTTGTTTTCTTTCTCGGCTCGGGGGTGGGGGTATGGGGGGGGTGGGGTAAGGTGTGGACCGACAGACATCGAAGTTGGGAATCGCCTGTCTGCCATCTGAGGGCTTCAACCCTCTTGAAGCAGAAGATAAACCTGGCAAAGCACAAAAACGGTGCAGGAAGTTGGACCAACATTGTGTTGTTGTTTTTTTGGCATCCCGCCTGGCGGCTCCAGCACCACAATGTCGGCCTTCTCGCCCTCTGGCATGAGGATGTCAAACCTAGCCGCATCCGTAAACTCACGAGGCGAGCGTAAAAAGACATCAACGTGACGCAGAACGAAAACATGGATCGTGGAAGACCCTAATTCTCTGGAGGAATTTCCTTGACCCCTTGCTAATTAGCAGGGGAGTAGTCCATCTTAGCTCCCACTTGCAGCCAAATTGGGTCTTACCAAACCCACATTCAGGGAGTTGTGCCATCCACTTTCACCCCAGCGTAGTTGGTACGTACGCCTTGCTACCCTGGCTGTACGCTGACTGGAAAAACAGGGAGGTGGTCCCCCTGTAACAAAGCTTGTAGACTACTACTGAAGGGGATACGCCCCACTTGCAAAGTGGGATAGGAAAACCGGGGCTGGCCTCGAGGTGCCCACGATTATAACTCTACATTCTACTGGCCTCCATACTTCACCATCAAATTCAAGGCAAAGGGAACCCCCCCCGGTTGCTGACTTTACTTTGACAGCCCAGGAACGCTAGGCACGTGGGTGTGTTGCTTTTTTGGGGATCCACCCAACGAATGGCGGCTTTCCTTCTAGTTGTCCTTTTTAAACCCACCTGAAAAAAAGGTTCCTTGATAAAAAACACACCGATAATCCACCTCAAACCGAGTATGGCCAACCGTTCGTTGGGCTGGGGCGCAGGCATCTCCCTGGGATCGGCAGTAAGTACCTTCAGTCAGTCACGAGTGTCACCAAACTGGGTGCATGTTGTTCTTTTGGAGCTCAGATCATCGTTGAAATCCATCAGTCCTCTTTTGGTCTGCTCAAGGACAACCAACCACGCGCTCAGCTTCCCTCAAATTGGGGTTTGGATTGGTGGTAGGTGGTAGGTAGGTGGTAGGTAGGTGGTTTTCCCAGCCCCAAAAGCACGCATAGGCACCTCGGTGCCGTTGATGCCCTGCGCCTGCGCCGAATCCACAACAAGGCCGCCGAATCGGTCTTGTGGTTGCAACTTGTGGGCCTCCCAGGTTTGTGTCAAATGTGCTCTCCACCGGAAATGGAAGTGGCTCAAATTCGAAAGCTAGAATTACGCAAGTGTGTCTTTGATTTCATTTTGCAGGACGGCGGTTTGGTACATTTGTTTGAGTCACAGCCAAATAGCAACACGAAAAAAACACCTGCAATAATGTCGTCGAACTTTGTGCCTCGTGGAATGAGTTGGACAGCACTTGGTGCATGGCGAAATGTTGGGCTTGGCGACTGCGCCACGGATCACAAAGGCAGACAGTGTTTGGAACTGGACAAGTGCCGCCAAACACCGAGGAAGGTTCTGGGCAAATGAATCACCACAAGACAACCACGAGGAGCTCAAACCATGACTCCTCTATACTCCTCTTAATCTATGATACCCAAACCCGGGGAAAACACCAAAAAAGACATCTCTGACGGGACCTGTCACTTCGCCGCACCGGGAGAAGAAGAATCTTGGCCCCAGTTCGCATCGACGAACACTCCGCCTCCAGCATCTCCTTCAAGACAGCTGCCAGGTGATCCCAACCTGAATTCAGCGGTGGTTCATGTCCACCACTGTCCGTTTTCAGGTCTGCAAAAAAGTGCCTAACTTTTGGTGGGTGAATGGGGAAGCCGGGCCCCACAAAACCAACTCAAAGCCCAAAAACAACAGGGGAGGCTGGAAACCGCCAAATACATAGGTCTCAAATTAAAAATGAGGTGCCACGTTTAAGGATCCCGTACCACACATATGTCACATACGCACTGTGTTTAGGGTACTACGTCACCGCCTCGCTAAAACAGGAGGTGTGAGATGGGCTGGAAAGCGGGGTACATAGGGACTGGTCGAAACCAAGGCATTGCACAGGAAATTCGCCGGATCTTGGACTTGTAAGGGTAAGCCTTAGAAAGCCCTCTTTCCAAGCCACCAGGACTGACTAACTCACATCAAAATCTCCCCGTTTGCTCAAGCCCTATTTTTCTAAACTCAACAGCCGCTGCTTAGATGGTCTGGGACTTACAACCATGGTGGGTTGCGACTCGGGCACAGCTAACCACTCAAGTCGTAGGCCAAGTGGAACATCTCTTGGGCCCCTCTTCTTGATGACTTTGCTCAAGAAGCCCAAAACCTCTGCCATCCTCCCACCCACACACCCACCCACCCACCCCGCCCTGAAAAAAAACAACAACAAACAAACAAATTGCCCTGCTCATGTGCCATCCGCCCTCCCCCCCCCCAAAAAAAAAACACCCCCCCACCCGCCAGAGGTTTTTTTCCTCGGCCGCCTCGCGCGGCATCAGCACGGCTCTAAGGCCATCCCGTGCCGCCGCCAGCCCCGGCCTCAGATCGCGGGAGTCTCGTGTGGCGTCGGTCTAAGGATACCTTCCCCATTCTTTCCAGGGATCCTTCTTTCCGGAAAACCTCCGGAAACCCAGGGGAAACAACTGTGAACCGCCCCCGAACATGGCTTCGGTTCGCCCCCGACATTTGGCGGGTTCAACAACTATCCCCAAAAAGATGGCGGGGTCAACTAACGTTATATATATATATATATATCTAGATATAGATCCTCTTGGTTCTACTTGAAACCCAGCCAAAGAAAGGAAGTAGCCTCGAAAACAGGCATATGACACATATGAGGCCCATGTTTATATGCCGCCTTGGACAGGGGTCTTGAAATTTGCTGAAAATGGACATCACCCGACCATGTTGATGTCCAGTCATCGTCTATAGGTGATGTTTATAATCCCCAAAATGCGGCATCGAATGCCCCCTGGTTAAACCAAAGTAATCAGAACCTGTTGAACCAAAACCCACCAACCCATTGCGTGAAACTCTTCATCTGGTCACTAGAACATTCTCAACCAGAGAAGTGTTCCGCAAACACCCAGTTCTGCTGAAAACTCATGAAGGAGATGAAACACATGGTGGGCTGCGAATTCTAAGCCCCGAGCATCCGATGGCCAGACATCAAACAAAGCTGAACGGAAGGGCAAAGGCAGCTGCCCTGATAGTCACCCCCCTGTAGATAGTTGACTATGCTTCAAAACTGCATCAAGCATGAATTCAGGTGATGTACCTTTTAGGTTGATGACTTTTAACACAAGCTATAACCGGGGGGAGCAACTCCTTGTAGACATGGTATGAAAAAGCGTGATTTATCTTTGAGGCGAGTCCCAAAATGTTTCATAGGCTTACATGACAGAACCCGAAACCGCCAAACTTGTTCACATGAGAAGCATGTAAAACAAACGGCTCTGTAATCCTCTGTGAGACTGCTCACATGGCTAGCTAGACAATGAAAAGCATGTGAGGAGTGTTACACATTCCTTGCTGATGGACTATGATAATGGGTGATACGGGCGAAAATGAAACCGCTGTGGATGGACAAAACTGACAAATACTGGATTACAGCCAGTTTATCATCTAGTCGTTTGATAGACCTAGGGGTCCAAAAACTATTCCTGACTAATCAAGGTGGGTCCCTCTGGATAGTTAGGTTGCACATAACTAAGTCCTACAATTTCTGATGGGTATCACCATAGCTAGACGGCTTTCATTCAGCCATAATTGGGTGTGTCTCAAAATGAAAGAGCTAGGGTTACGCGGTTTTCTCGTCTTTGCTTCTTAACCCAGGGTTCCATTTTGGGGTTACCCCATGTTTGACCAGTCAATGGTTTTCTGGGGGAGCCAACCCCTTGAAGTGAGAGATCGTATTGTTGTGAGTCCTCCGCTTGACTTCCGTCAACACACGCGGTGCGAAGGCTCCTCTTTGGCAAAGTTGTTGGCTGATGCGGTAAGATAGGCTTGGGGAATTAGAGCGTGCAATGCTGTCTAATGGAGATCAAGTTGGGCTTGTACTTCAGAAGAAGCGTCACAACAAGCTGGTTCACCCCATGTCACTACCGATCCGTCCAAGAGAAGAGCAGCGAAACATCCGTTCCAGCCTCCAATCTGCTGCACATTCCGCAACTGATGTCGGACTCTGGAGCTGTCACCACCTCGATTGGAATCGCCCCATGTCACAACAGATCCATCTCCCAGGATGGCATCAAAGGCTGATTCTACCGATTCAATCTGCTGCACATTCTCCAGCCGCTCTTGGACTTCAGAGCTGTCACCGCCACAATTGGGATCACCATGTAATCACGGATCCGTCGGCTCGGATGGCAGCGAATGCAAAATCGGTTGCCTGAATCTGCTTCACATTCTGCAACTGATCTTGGACTGCAGAACTGTCGCCACCGACTTTGGGGCTGCCCCATGTGACAACAGATCCACCTGCTAGAATTGCAGCGAATGCAGAATGCGCGCCTTGAATGTGCTGAACATCTCTCAGTTGATCTTGGACAGCGGAGCTGTCACCACCGTCATTGCCCGAATCAAAAGTATTGCCGCATGTGACAACTGCCCCATCCGCCCGGATTGCCGCAAATGCCAGATGTGTAGCGTACAGCTGCTGCACGTGTCTGAGCTGACCCCGCACCGCGGAGATATCACTACCGCAATCTGGTAGGCCCCATGCCACAACCGATCCATCCGCACCAGATGTGGCCTTGATGTCCTTGACACTCTTCAGCCGATCTTGGACTGCAGAACTGTCACCACCAAACTCCGAACTGCCCCATGTGATGACCCTGTCATTTCCAGAGCACCACAAAGCAACCGCCTCACCAGTTGCTACAAGTCGCGGTTGTTGCGCGACTGCAAAGAGGTCGTCTCCCTCCTCAATCACTGCAGAATTGCTATCTTCTTTCTTTTTCCACTGGGCAAAGACACTGTTACGCGCAGCATCTGACACCACGCACAATTTGGTTGCTAACAAATGTGATTTTGAGTCTCGAGCCAAACCCACTCAGAAATTACCCCATGAATCACGTAAGTTGGGTCATTCTCAAAAAGTCGACGATGGCATCATTTCTGGGATGTTCACTAATTCAGGGTATCCGGGTGAACTGACCCATACCCACATAGTGATACCAGATCCAATGTAACAAGTAACCAAGGTGCGTGACACTGCTCAACTAGGATTGCATTTTAACATGTACCCCTCGATCATCAAACGTAGCATAGGTCTGTTCAGCTAGCTTTTTGGTTGGAACCCTCACACATCAAAAGAAGCTGGGTCAGCCCATGCTCGATGAGCTTGGAGGTGGCAATCAGAAAACCGCCAAGGTATCTTTGCCATGGCTGCGGGTCAAAAATGGGTACCCAAAATTCAACCCTGGAAAATGGAAATATGAACTAAAATCTGCGGTCCATATCCTGGTTGTTTAATTTGACCAGCCACATCTTGTTGCAAGGTGCTGAACCGCATCCCACTCGGACTCCACTCGGTGGTTATGAAAGACGTAAATTAAAGGCCAACACGTAGTCAACACACATGTTACTCACTTCGAAGGCGGGCCCCTTCCGGATAGTTGAGTTGCTGAACACTACACAAGTCTTATCCAAGTCTTATGGCTTATGATTCAACTATTGCTCAGATGGGTTTAGTTCAGTTTCAATAATTGGGGGGGGCCCTCCTTGTGGAAGAAAACCTTCTTGACGGCCAGCTCTCACCCCGGGGGTCCGGGCAGCCCCAGGGCGCTGCAGTCCAGCAGCCGAGCCGTCCCTTGGCTCGAAAGCGACTCCTTGGCCTCCTCCAAAGCCTTCGCCTGGCGGAGGTGGAGGTGGTCGTCTCGCCAACGGCTGTGGCGCTCGAATCAAAGCAGACCATGGGGGACAATGTTCCAGCGAACAGGAGCGGTCGTTTTAACAGCCAAAGGCTGTGACGCTCGAACAGAGTCTACATCTTGGCCATGTCGGAGGCCAAAAGTAGACCGCCATGTCGGAGGCCAACATGTCTCGAGCGAACAGACTCGACCACCAGGCTGGAGGCAGACCATTTTCGAGCTGCGAGAAGACTCGAAATGCTTGTACATGGCAAAACTGTTTTTAGGTTGAGCTCTCCATGTTGGAGCTTGCAAAAGCGCGACTCGAACAAGTGGCAGCAAATGACCCCACAGGCCAGACCAGGTTGGAAGCGGATGCATTTAATGCATTTGGTGAAAACTCAGATGGGCCACACTCATGAAAAGCTAAACCCACCCCCTCATGCTTTCAAGCAAAAACTGCCAAGCGAGGCAGTGGCACGTAGAAGTCATGTCGTTCATGATCTCCCGCAACTGGTAGCAAGAACCTGACAGCTGATGACCTCATTCTCTAAGACGGTTTCCATTCCCGACAAACCACCCAAGCAAGGAAAACCGGACGTATATATATATATATATATTACATACTATTATATACCATGGTGGCGAGTGGCTGCATATCCCATAACCCCCCCCCCCCCGCGTCCCGGCAAACCCTAGAAATTCTCTGACTCCAGTCTAAGACGCCAGTTCCACAACTCTACGGGGGAAATTCGCAACATCCACGGCTGCGCCCTTTTTCTTTGTAGGGGAACCCCCCAAAATGGTGATGGTCCTCTTGAGTTTCCTTCAGAACCACCCAAAACGGGGGGCACCCTCAAAACAAGACACACCAAAAATAATGAAAAACCTTGCAAAATTCGTGTAGAACTTCCAGAAGCTGGTTTCTTAGTCAGGAGTCACTGGATCTCTTCAACAGTTGCAACTGACTGGTGGTTTCCATTGAGACCGCCACTTCTGGAGCTTCCAAAAGGGGACATGGCTGGGACACCCTATGCCTTTTTTTTTTGGGGGGGGGGTAACCCCCAAAATGGTGGTCCTCCTTTAAAACCACGGCACCCTCAAAGAAAGACGCACCCAAATGGCTGTGGGTCAAAACCAATGGTACCATTCTGGGGTAGGTACACCACCCATTTTAGTCTATTTTAGTGGGGATTGGGATGTTCACTGGGGGTACGATTTGGATTTTGACCCATGGCCATCTGGAAACCATACCGCTGGTTCCCATGGGTTGCGATTTTTGGGACCAATATGGGTGCCCCCGCATTTGTCGAAGAGTTCCCAAAGCGGTTTGCTAGGTGCGGCACAAGGTAACCTGGATCCGAAAGCTGAGCCGCCCCGCTCGTTGGCCTCCTTCGCCGCCGCACGCCCGATTCCGTGCATCCTAGGCGTCGAGCGAGCTCAGCAGCTCCCGTCGTTGGACATGCCTCCATGTGCTTTTTCACGCCTGGAAAACAACACCAACAAAAACAAATATCGCTCCAATAAAACCAGCAAGCGAAAATAAAGAAAAAACGGCTTCAGCAAATGGAAGCATGGTCAGACTGCGTCCCTGCGGATCGCTGTGGGAAATAGAATTCACTTCTGTGATGCAACAAGAAAGGCTTCCCAAAGACCAACCCCCCAGAAGGGGATAAACCGCGAGTGATCCCACAACCCTGCAGATCAACATGGAATCCAGAAGGGGGCCTCTCAAAGGGAGCAAGGGGCCAGAGGGGTTCCATCAGCAGGGGTGTCGTGATTTTTGTTGGGTTCTGTGGTTGAAATTTCGTGAGTTCGACCGAACCTCACACGCCAAGCTCTCAAATTTGGGTCCGGTTGAGGGTCCTTGCGCTTCTGCTCGCGTACCACTAGAATGATTTCCATGATTTCAGACGTTCCAGAGGGAAGTGTCTAAGAAACCAGCTACAGCTCCTGCCGGTGTCTTAGAAAGTAGGCAACATAATCTCACACATTGCAATCTCTCCGACTCCGCAAGACGGCATGTGATACCAGTAATTGTGTCCTACAGTGAGGATTCCCCCCCATTTGTGGCTGTGAAGGGCTTTCCACTGGTAGACACATTCGCTGTCTGATTCTACTTCTCGGAAACCTGCATCGCTGGCAACGCGCGCCTCTCGGGTGAACCCGGCGCTGAATCATCCGCGCTTGTTTTGCCTTGCGGATCCAATAGCTGGAACTCCATGAAGGGATAGGACTTCGAAAGGAAAGTTAGAAACGATTGGAGCAGGCCTCAGTCCACTCACCATCTGCTTCCAAGATGTCTATCCACATCACCCTTATGAGAAACAACCGTATACGTAGAGCCCCTCGCTTGACTGGCCTACTAAGGAAGATACCAAGATGCCCTTTCCGCTCGGTCTCTCTCGCTTTCTTCTCGACCATCTCCAAACAAATCGACCCTCCAAACAAATACCTGCGACCTGCCCAATGGCCTGCAAGCTCTGGCCGCACCCGCACGTGGGCGCTGATGCCGTGCCTCGAGCAACACAATCTGGAGCAAAGCTTTTTTGTTGTGGGTTAAGCCCAAGGGTTCCCCAGCTGGGAAAATCAGCTAGCCCTGGGTTAAGCCTACCCCTGGAATCCGAGGTCTGATGCATTCAAGCCCCGCGAGCGCGAGCCCAAGCGATTGAGGCTCCAACGCAATGAACTCGACCAACACCTCAAGCCACTGCCCTGCCTGCGCAGATGAAGCATTTGTGGCTGGGATTTGTTTTTGCTGGTGAGTGGTTTAGCCACCTCGCTTTTCATATTGCTGGCAATGTTGGCCATGCCCGTGCCAGCCATGATACCCAAATTCAAGCATGGGGCCCTGGATTCGCAGGAATTGAAAGTCGCGCCAGGTCTTTCAATTGATCCCGCTCCAAAAACTCACGATCCCAAACCCCGGGGCGCTGGGCGCTGGGCGCTGGGCTTGCAAAAATGGCGTCCAATGGGATGCAACCATGGCTCGCATCAACCAACCCCTGCTGTCCCACCTGACCATGGCTTTTTCTACCAGCCAAGTAGGATGAACCTCCCAGAATTCGATGCCACATCCTGCCCCCCCACCCCCCCACCCCCCCCCACCCCCCCCCCACCCCCCCCCCCACCCCCCCCCCTCCGCCTCCACTCGTAAGGGCGCCGGCCGCTCTGCCCCCAGGCGCCAATCTTCGGCGGCAGCTTCCTGCAACCGGCGCCAGCAGAGGCGCTCAAGGAGCCCCGCCCCACGCCTGCAGCTGCAGTAGCCAACCCCAGGCAACCTCGGCAGGCCCAAAATTGACCATTACCAGGGGCAAACCACAGATCCCATCTATGCCCCACTCGAAAAGAGCGTCCTGGTGGGCTCAGCGGAGAAAAAGGTGGCATTGCAGCATTGCATCGCATTCCATGTTGTTCGGCCCATTTCTCTGATTTCCGACCCCCGCGACTCCGTTTTAGTGTGCACGCCGGGGAACTTGGCATCAAAGCCTTGCCAAGGTGCGTGGGCCAACCATCCGAGTGCCGAAATCGGGATCAATCCTCTGCAAATCGATGGCCCTGTGCAACATCCCTTGCAAAGTCCACCAAAGTGAGGTAGGCTCCCGTTTTTAGCGACATCCACGTAATGCTGACCCCCAAATAAACAACCCAACTAAGAATAAGCCGAGAGCTCCCAGCAGCCAAAGCACGTCAACCACGGTCAAATTATGGCTGTCACCCATAGTGGGTCGGTTGCGGGTTGGGCCAAGCCCCCATTTAAATGTGCGGTGCTTCTTTTGGGTACCCACTTGTGTTTTCGAGGGGGGTTCCAAAGAAAGCCCATCCCAGTGCTTCCAGTTACCACTATAGTAGGTAACCTGAGGAATCATGCAAAACCTAGAGGTAAGAAGCCCTGGTTATCTACTATAGTGGGAACTGGAAGCACTGGGCATTTCAACTTTCCCCCGTTCTGCCGCAACATGGTTTCAGCACCCAGTGTTCTAGCAACCGGCAGGGCATCCAACGAGGGCCGCGAGAACGAGTCCGAGCTCGGCGCATCCCCCGCGAAGTTCCGGGAGCCAGGGGAGGTGCTTAGCACCTGCCAGCGAATTCGGGGGTTGGAGAACGTGGATCCCAGGTAGCCACTACCTAGATGGGATACCTAGACAGTATCAGCTGCCTTCCAATTGGTTTGGAGCCCGGTGGTTTAGCGGTTAAGGAGGGGGTTCCCATCTACCCTCTACAAGAACCAGGGGGGCAAATCCAAATCCGAATACCAATCCAAACCACCACATAAGGGTCACCAAACAGTAGACCACAAACAATTTTCCCTTTTGGCTCTTGAAGGTGATTCCATTGATGACCAACGGGTAAATGGAATCACTGGGGAAAGGGTGGTCTGCTTTTGGTGAAAAAAAATGGAGGGATGAACAAAATGGCAGGGATCTCGAAAATAATCTCGAGGGATGGCCAGAACAAACGAGGTTCGGTTGGAACCTTGTTTCTGGGGGGCCTCATCCGGAGACAACCCCCTTTTATGGGATTCCCTTTCCAGGTAGTCAGGGTGCCGTCTATACTGAGTTTGCATTACAATTTCTTGTATCCGGATTAATATCACTAGGGGCAATGATTGGGGCTATTGTGTTGACTTTAGCAAAAAGTAATAAACAAAAAATCATAATCACGGAAAACAATATGTTTAAAATAATTCACAGCCAAACCAAAATAACAACAGCAAAAATAACAATAATTTAAAGGTAAATTAATTACTACAGTTGTTAAACATGCTATATGTATTAAAAATGGATAGTGCATAACGCATATGTTTCCGAAACTCTGGGGAACAAAATAGTGTGGCTTCTCTTTTGCAGGACAAACTTACTTGTTTCCCCAAGAACTCCCCCAAGAGGACATGTGAAAATCGGGATGTCCTGGACTCCCCATGTCCTCAATCCAACAGACTCATACTTTTGGTTGGCTCGTCTGAACGCCACCTAAACAAGGGATAACTAAAGACTTTGCTTCCCGGATTTGGGATCCTCGGTTTTTTTGTTCCCTTCATTCGTGCAGTTCGCCCCCCTGGAGCATTCGTGGGGGGCTTGTTTGTCCCGGCCCTTCTCTACAAGACTTACCCCCTATTGACTTCTGGATCTACCAACATGGTTGTAAAGGTTTATGTAACGCTTCTATGACCCACATGCAACCAAGTAGCAACACCACCAACTAAAATGACCAACAGGGGTTTTGGTCACGCTCACTTGGAGCTAGAACTGGAGGGAGAAAAGCCTGAGTGGCACTCGCCTGCGTCCTCTGCGGATCCGCCCAAATGTCCCAATCGAAGAGCGCCTGAAGAACAGGAAGGCCGGGCTGGTCCACTGGTCGGCAGGTTCATTGACCCTCCACAAGAACCAGGGTTCAAACCCCCAAACCATTCAAACCACCAATGAAGGGGAACCCGCTAAGAGACAAACCCATCTGACACCAAAGGTGGCAAATGCAAGCTGCTGGCTGGCCCCTCTAGGCTGCCTGCCGCATGGATGATGCCAGCCTTCTGCGCCTTGATCCTGCAACTAGAGAGCAGCAAGTGTCTTGCTGCTCCCCTCAACGTCATGTTGCACCCCGCATCCCAGAAGGCAGTTGCGCTTGCACAAAAAGCTGATCGCTACTGAGGATCTGTCCGCAGGATCTTGCTCTTTGGAACATCTTCGGCGGTCATTGTGTACAAGTCCACTTCCTTGGTGGCAAAAAGGATCCCCCGCGCAAAGAGCTCAACTTTTGTTGGATACTACGAAAATACAACAAACAAACACAACTGAACTGTAAAGTGCTCCCAAACAATCTAAATATTATTCTTCCCACTATCAAAAAGCCAACAGCCTCGCCAAGCTTCCAGTAGGCAAATCCGCTCACTCAGCGCGCGGGGCTTCTCGCGGCTGGCTCCAGACATGGCCTGCCGAATGCGCCATGCGCCATGCTGTGTGCCGCCAAAAACCCCTTGCCAAGGAAGCGGGGGGCCTGCAAATTCCAAATGGGCGCGTCTTGTTTTAGGATTTGACCCCCAAACAAGGGGATTTCCTGTTGGTTTCCCTTTTCTGCCGCAAAAAAGGAGGGGGGGTACTAGCTCCAAAAAAGACACTCCTAAATGGGCCATCAACATGCGTGTTTTCCATCCAATGCTCCTTTGAAACCATACGAACGGGATCCTCGACAACATGTAAACTAAGTTTTGCCCGACCCATAGCTCTGCATTAAGACCGATAGGATTCCTGCAACTGCATTTCACATGACCAGCCACTGTGCTGAATGCAGGATTGCTATCAATGTGAATCTGTTCTCTACCCTTTCAACCCCCCCCCCGCCACCCCCCACCCCACCCCCCTTAGCATTCTTTACGGAATTTCACCACATAATCTCCGCCACCTCAAGGTGGCAGACAAAAAATGCTGTGCATCCCACCCATCCCATCCTGCCTTCCAGTAGAGAGTATCCTGCACACGGTCATAAGACATAAGCCTTTCTGTGATATCAAAATGAGATTCCCATCCCGTGACTACTGTGTGTGCTACTCACAGAAAGTGGGATAATGAGATAATCAACACTTCCAACTTTCCACACAAATGTGGGCTCCCATTCGGCCCCTTTGACAACCAATCCCAAAAAGAACACCATCCAAAGAAGGAAAGACACATTTAAGATTCGTCCCACAAACCCTTCCCCCCACTAACATAGCACGTGGGAGGGTACCTGGAAGATCAACTTCCAAACGACAAAATAATGAATGCACCACCTCGTCAGGAACCCCAAAAGACACCGTTGAACATACATGATTAACCAAAAATGACTGACACGAAATTGTACAACCAAAACATGAATGACGCACTTGGAGGCTCAGCCATAGGAAACGACCTTTTTGCATTGCCTTTCACTGTGTCCTGCAGCCTCTCCCAGGGTGACAGGTCGAGGTTTCGCCACACCTTCGGGGAGGCTTCGATTCAACGCGTGCGTTCAAGCCGTGGTTCAAACCACACCCAGCAAGCATCCTAGGTTAAAGCAGACAATAGGGTAAAGATTGGCCATTCTTACCACGGTTATCACCAAATTGTTTGAACAGCCTCCTTTTGGTTTCCAGCCACAAAGGGCCCGACCCTTTTCCCTTCAAAGGCTCGGCGGGGTTTTTATTTTACTGATTTCAAATCAAGAACCACTCAAATCCGGGCTGTCCTCGGATCCCCTGGTAAAAGTTTACCTTGTAGGTGGGTTAAATGTGGAAACCAAACCACTGAACCAAGTAAAAACCATCTTACACCCCCCCCCACAAAACAAAACAGAAAAAAAGAAAAGAGGAAAGAAAACGGGCTGCGTACCCCCCACTAACAGGTTTCTTGCCCCCACCTTGGGGTGCCAGGGACTCGAAACGCCGGAAGACGCCAATTCCACCAGGGTCAGGTACTGGCACCCCCCCGCCGGGATGATGGCTCCGCCCGGCTTCAGCAGGCGATCACCTGAAGCCTCCCAGGGAGGCGACAAAAAAAGCGAAGCCATGGCCCGCTGGGCGGCCACCGTGAAGCTGGACCCCCCTGAGAAGGTGCGGGTATGCACCTTGAATCGATTCTTTGCCGTGGGTAAAGAAGTCGACTCTAGCAGGCTTTGATTATGTCACTTGTGTGTGTGGGTTTGTCGTTTTTGGCTACCAGTTGTTTGTGGGTTTTTGACAGGGACACCAACAGGACAACCCACACTTTTGGGTAGTGTTCCGTGCCCTGCAGCTACCTAGCGTGTGAGACCCTAGGGGAAAGCCTACCCAGCCCAAAAATTGGTGCAGTAGAAACATACAAACGAGTGGGAACCAAAACCTAAAGAACTGGCCGGACTCGAAACCTGCAAACCCAAGGTCCCCTAGAGGAAAATAGCCCAAACCAACGGAGGAAATTGCTCAGAGTCGACCCAATGGGGAGAGAGAAGTGGCGAGTGCGGCACCGTGGCGACAACTGCCCACTTGGCTCACTGGTTGTCTTGGAGGTCCTTTCTTTGAGTGCGCCGTGGTCAGCAAGTCACATCCTCAAATTTACACGACAAGTGGTGGTGGGCTGAAGGGAACAAACAAAACAACAGAATCTTGAGAGCCCCCCCACCAAAAAAAAAGGTCCAATGTTATAGGCCGCCCAATGAAAGACCTGCAAACAGAAAAATTGGCCTTCCCTCGGCGGAAAACCGGAGCCCTAACTCGAGACGGATCGCCTGACAGCCCAGTCTCGCGTGGACAGCGTGTTGAGCCCTCAAAATGGTTGGGCTTCCTCTTGGTTTCCCTCAAAACCCAACCAAAACGAAAAATTCGGGCAACGGCTTAGCCTTTTGGCTTCCCTCTAAAATACCCCCCACCAAGCGGCTCCCCTTTCCGCCGCCCAAGCTCAAAACCCCCTGGTTTTCCAGGCGAGGCGCGGGCATCCGAGATCCAGTTCAGGACGCCCTCCCCCAGCAGCATGGTGCCGAAGGTCTCCGTGACGATCAGATCCGCGGGCGCCAGCGACACGCGGCTCGAGAGCTCCGGCACCACCGTGAGGTTGGCCTCGAGGGGAGAACCCCTCGGAGAATTCTCGCCCCTGAAGCTGCCAATTACTCTGCAAATGAGTTTGTTTTTGTCTGGGACCCTGCAAATTCACAAAATGGTGCTGGGGCAGTGTCTTGTGCAAGCCAAAGTGCAGCTAAAGCGGACTGCTGAAAGCACTCTGCAAGCACAGCAAACCACAGTCTTTGGATGATTCCCATGACTACTTTGTCACGTTCAAGGGGATTCCAAACGAATCAAAGCAACTGTTCCTAAATCCCAGTTCTCCGCCGTGTTTACCTTGGAACTGGAGGCGCTGAGTGCCTGTTGCCCTAGTCTACACCCCAATTCTTTTGTTCTTACCCGAAAAAGAAGAATCGCACGATCACACCCCCCTCCCCCAGTAAGGGGTATGTCTTAGTCGAACCCACCCCCAACTTGTGTAGGGTCCGCGCCCAATGGGGAGGAAGGAAAACGAAGACCACACCAACAAAGATTACCCTCCCACGTTGCCATGAACCCCCCTAGAAGAGACGGAAGCTACTTCCTTTTTGGCTTCCCTTCAAAGCCGACCAAAAGTTGGAGTCCCCAAAAAGGAAACCACGCCTGCAAAATTCCCTCAAAAGTCTAAAAATCCAAACGTCTCCGGAACTGTATGGCTGACCGAGTTGCATCTGGGAAGAGGTGTCTGTTGCGATCAATGGTCTTCACAGCCAGCTCTGCCAAGGCGGGGTTCCTCGGCATAAGCTCAAATTGCGGAAGGCGCTGCGAAGAGTCAAGAGGTCAAGCAACAGGTGTCTGTGTGTGTTCTACGCTCGATAACCTTGGCACGTTGAATTGACGGGAAACCAGAAGGAAAGCCGAAGTCTTTTCAGGAGTCAAGTATTTGGAGGGGTACGCGTCCATCCAGAAGCTAGAAGGTAAGGGTGCCCATCAACAAGTGGGGGGTTGGAAAAAGAAGAAACACCGCCCATCCAGATGTCCCCACGTCCCCCCACTTCCAAAACCGGCTAGTAAAACTCAACTGTATCACCCTGGGCGACGAGCCCCTGCTTAGATGGCCTGGGACTTAGCTAAGTGGCTAGTAACCCTAGTTGTAACCCACTTACAATGGTTGTAAGCCCCTAAAACCAGGGCAAAGCTCACCATTGGGGGATTCCTCCGAGCACCACCCTGGTGAAAAAATCCCCACTCAGACCCACCCCACCTCTGTCCATTCATCTCCGAGGAACGCCTCCAACGCCCAAACCTCCACGTCCCCGCGGCTTTCCTGAGCTCCCGTCCGAGCGCGGACGAGCAGGTCTTTGGAGCTTTGGTACTACGAGGGAGGAATGGCTAAAACACCCTTGGCTGTCGTGGGTTAGCAGGGCAAATTTGACCACACGATTCAACTCCCCCAAGTAGGTTTCGTGGACATGGGTCTGTCATTTGTTGAGTTGGTACCCGCATGTCTTGTGGTTTTGAAGGGAAACCAAGAGGAAAACTACAATTTTGGAGAGGGATCCCCAAAAAAGACATACCCACCTCAGACTTCTGCAGTTGCCTCATGCGAAAGCGAAACGAAGGGGCCCAAGCTTCCTGCGGCAGAAGCTCGCAAGCCAAAGCCTATGGTGTCATGAGACATGCCATTTGGCCATGGGTCAAAACCGTACCCCCAGTGAACATCCCAATCCCCACTAAAATAGGTTCTAACATGGAGGTGCATCTACCCCAAAACGGTACCATGGGCTTTGACCCACAGCCATTTATTTCCAAAAGGTAGGGGCCAATGTTCGGTCACCCAGACCCCCAGCCATGAAGAAAACCACACGACACTTTCAATGATAGCGCTTTTGCGTATGTTGAGTTTACAGGGGCCCGCCCCTCTAAAACAAGAAGAAGAAAAGAATAAGGCAAGGCAAAAAGGGGAAGTAGGGAAGCAACCCGCTGGCTTCGGCCTGTACCCTTGGCAAGTGGCTGTGAAAATGGCTGTGGGTCAAAAATAGGTAAAGGACTAAACCCCGCGTTTTTTTTTGTTTTTGTTTTTTTTAATGGTTGAACTTTGACTTATACCCAAACAGGGATCTTTACAGTATACACCTGAACATTGCCGTGTAAATGGTGGTGTCCCTTTATTTTGGTTTTGAAAAAGCAACATGTTTCAAATGGTTGCGAAATGTATCCTTTAAGGAGCCCTGCCAAAATGGGATCGCCATAGCTTCTGCAACCCATGGCCGAGTGTCCAAGGCCGCCAGCATGGCCAGCAGCCCGCTGCCGGCGCCCAAGTCCAGCACGCGGCCCCTCGCGCTTGGGGCGCAAAGGCTATGTCTCCGACCCCGAAGGAAACGGAGGTCCTTGCAACCAAAAGGAAAACGGCCCAAAAAATACACACAGACACACGGACACACACAGACACACAACCGCCTGCGTTCTATTGCCAGCCCTTGAGAGTTTGTGGGAGGCCTTGAATCGAAGTGACGGCAACCTTTTGTCAGGAACTAAGTGTGTGCAAAAGCAGTGTTTTACGTCTATATCATGTCAAAAACGGGGGGCTATATGGTTTCCCATTACAGATGAACCTACCCGAAGCCCATCCATGGGACTCCAGGGATGCGACCTCCCCCCCGAAGGGAGGTGATCCCTGGGCGACGCCTCGGCTTCGCGGCAGCCAGCGCAGCTCGGTAGAACTCGTTCCGCCCGAAGTCGTTCCTAGTTCCGAGAACTTCGAAACCGATAGCACGCTTGAGGGAATGCCAGTATTCCCCCTGAATACTGACTGCCGAGTACAGTAGATATATTTGTTTTTTACATTGTTTAGGGGCAGTTCCCCTGTTTGTGAATGGGTTCACTTTAGCAAGACTTTTCGGATTAGTCGAGTCCATCGCGGTATGCCCAAGATTCGCATTTCCGAAAATCTAGTTGACTTTGGGCCCGGTCCGTCCGAACCCTTGCGACAATTGCCTCCAA